TAAATCGGGCGTTGACAGAATATGGTATTCGTATCTGGCGTAGTCGAAGTGCTCGCCTACTCTTGTTACTTCCCGGTCACCATTATATTTTTGTTTAGTTATTTGGGGCCTTAACCAGGACCGGTGTCTTCGCCTGCGATAGTAATTCAAGAGTACTTAGTCTCTCTACTCCCAACCTTTTTCAGATCCTTTTAGTGATTTGTGGCCCTAAAGAGGGCCGTTGGGTTGGGTTTTAGAAGGCGTCAAGCAATCCGAGAAGTCGTGGCTTCATCAGACTTAAGCACGCTCTCCACGGATGCGGCGAGCCAGCTGGATGTCCTTTGGCATGATGGTGACACGCTTGGCATGGATGGCGCACAGGTTGGTATCTTCGAAGAGACCAACAAGGTAAGCCTCCGAAGCCTCCTGAAGGGCCATAACAGCCGATGACTGGAAGCGGAGATCAGTCTTGAAGTCCTGGGCAATCTCGCGGACGAGACGCTGGAAGGGGAGCTTGCGGATGAGAAGCTCCGTCGATTTTTGGTAACGACGGATCTCACGGAGAGCAACGGTTCCAGGGCGGTAACGGTGGGGCTTCTTGACTCCTCCGGTGGCCGGGGCCGATTTGCGAGCAGCCTTCGTGGCTAGCTGCTTACGGGGAGCCTTTCCTCCAGTCGACTTGCGGGCGGTTTGCTTGGTGCGGGCCATTTTCCTTCTTGTGAGAGTTGGATGGGGATTCTATCTAGGGCAGTTCTTATATAGGGTAGTAGGGAAGGGGCGTGGCTAGGACTACGCACTGATACGCGCTACGAGACACTACGGGTAGGGCGGAGACAGCACCCGAGGCCCCGCCCTCCCCCTACCCCTCGTAACCTATAAAAGACCCCCTTCCCCCACCCAAAAACCATCTTCACCGAAGAACTCAACTCAACTCGACAACATGTCTGGACGTGGCAAGGGAGGCAAGGCCAAGACTGGTGGCAAGCAAAAGTCTCGCTCTGTGCGAGCCGGACTCCAATTCCCCGTTGGACGTCTGCATCGTCTTCTCCGCAAGGGTAACTATGCCCAACGTGTCGGAGCTGGAGCCCCGGTCTATTTGGCCGCCGTTCTTGAGTATCTTGCTGCTGAGGTTCTCGAGTTGGCTGGCAATGCTGCCCGTGACAACAAGAAGACCCGCATCAACCCCCGCCATCTTCAACTCGCCGTCCGCAACGACGAAGAGCTGAACAAGCTGCTGTCGGGTGTCACCATCGCCCAGGGAGGTGTTCTGCCCAACATCCAGGCTGTCCTGCTCCCCAAGAAAACCGCCGGAGACAAGGAATAGATTTATTCTTGCAAAAGAATTGTCTCTCCACGTCGAGCTTCTTCTCTAAACCCAACCAACCCAACGGCCCTCTTTAGGGCCACAAAATAGCAAAATTAAAAGCCTGCGAGCATTGGAATTGGATTTGAAATTGGAAATTTGAAATTGGAAATTTTGCTCAAATTGATTCCGGGCCGCAGGCATTTGGCGTTGACTGAAAAATAAGAGGCTTAACAGAGAACCAGGGTTGAAAAGCCGCTTCGCGACTTCTCAACCCTGGCCCCGTCTTACCCCCATGCTTCATCACTTTCATAAACTCCTGAATTCCTGTGCAAAAAATGAAAAGCCCGTCCTCATCCCCATTATATAGGCTCTCCCCCATCCGGTGCATGCAAATTGATTCCTGACAAAAGGGCCGAGCGATATTTTCACTAAAACTGATTTTTAATGCCGAAAACAGCTGATTTTGGAAAATCTCATATGCGTGCAGTTGTGTCATGACCATTACGCACCTAGTGACATATCATGCGTGCCCATAACTTCTTCCTTTATTGAGATACGACTGGAACATACGGACGGAAGTCGCACGCAAATGCACACACACATAGACATTATTTTTTTTATTTATATTAGGATACAAAGGAGACATTTGGCTTACCGTAAGAGAACATGGGTGATAAGGCGGTGGACATATTTTCGATACGGGGTGGTGAAGGTGAGGATAAATGCTGACGATATCGTGGTGTGGGTGGATTGTAGCCCGACAATAAGATTGATTAGCGCTAGGAACAGTCATCACATAATCGCAAAACCAACGTTGAGAAACGGTGAAATCCCCGAGCACGATCACCACCACGGCGAGGTAGGGACCGACAACCGAAAGCAATGGAATTGCCATCTAAAGCTTCCTCCCCTTTGTCATTAGCACTCGCAAAATGAAACAGTAATACCCCCACAAAAGCTCACCCCAATTATCAAAACCTGCAGACTTTTTCGGTGCATTGCCCGGGTTTTCGCGCTCATCAGTGTGTGCTGATCGCTGAGAATGTAAAAGGAATGCCATGCCAACAGCGGGAACTGAAAACTGCATTAGCTACTTGGTCCAGCTTCTAGGTAATTTGTCGCGAAGAACAGGCAGTCAAAAACAAAGTCACCATTGGTATCCAAGCACACATTGCTGTTATAACCCCGCAGATCACTGGCGTCAACCCGGAAAACATGATATATGGAGGGAAGATGGGCGGCGCATTCATTATATAGCATCCGGGCAGTGCTCGCATGAAGGCGAGCTGCGGCTTTGTCTAAAGTTACAAAACTACAGGGTGTCCCAATAAAAAAGGTCACGCTGGCATTTTGCTATTTCAAATCCGATCGACTTGAAATTTTGCACAGAGGTGCGGAAGGGAATTCAAAATGTTCACACAAACTTTCAGCCCGATCGGTACAGTAGTTTTCGAGTTATTGTAAAAATACTGTTTTTCCCACACTTTTGCTTCATTTTTTTGGCTATCTTTTTGGACTTTGCATCAATTAACATAAATTTCCGGCTCTAAATCCCTTATTCTTCTTAACATCGGCGTCGTTAGCCCTTGTTAAAAAATACTTAAATAGCCTGTTTTCGACCCGAATTTTGCGAAATAAAAAAATTCCTAGGATAAAAAAGAGTCGGCGCTTCATTTTCTCCATACATTCCAGGGTTCAATTCCGGCGGAATCCAGGTGAAAAACGTAAAATAAAGTTTATTTTTGCTATAACTCGAAAACTACTGGACCGATCGGGCTGAAAGTTTCTGTGAACATTTTGAATTCCCTTCCGCACCTCTGTGCAAAATTTCAAGTCGATCGGATTTGAAATAGCAAAATGCCAGCGTGACCTTTTTTTATTGGGACACCCTGTATATTGATCCTGCAAGTTGCCAATATCGATATAACCATGCTCGGGTAAGACTTTACTTTATCCCCACCCCCCGCAGCCGAAGGATCTCAAAGTTTTCGGTATTTTCGCGGATTTTGTCGGGATTTTTGCAACGCCGTTCGAACAAGCGTCAAAAAAATATACTAAGAGTTTTAATTTGTGCCTACAATGATGTAGAATAAAAAGTCATGCCAAAAACTTCCGGTTGGGATGGGGGAAGTAAAGTGTAGCCCATGCTCGATTCCATTTGAAAGTAATACCCGAATTTGCATCTCCATCTCAGAACTCTCTGCAACCTCATCCATCCAAAGCAGCGCTGCACCAATGATCCACGCTAGAGAAGGGATCAAGTAATTGGGTAATGCTATCAAAATAGCGCCCCGCAGTGAAAGCCTTGCAAAGAATTCTTGATTTTCAAGTTTCCCAACAATACCGTAGTCGACTGGTGATACTCAGCAAAACGTGATGTCGATAGGCCATACATTGTAGCGTCGCACAAAGCATCGACATTACGAATATCGAGCCAAATGACTATGCAAAATTGGGATTTCTCACGAAATTGCCAACCAGCAGCGCAAGTGGCCCAAGGAATCCAAGAAAACTGAGCGCTCGGCCGGCTAGGGTAGGGAAATAAAATTCTGGCGTAACACCGTGGAATATGGCTTCCTGGAGGATGGCCCAGAACTGAAAAGCATGCCAAACCTTGAAAGGTATTTTTCCGATAAAATTTACCTGATACCAGGCCAGATGCCATCGATAATTGGATACCCGGTCCGACGGATTTTTTATGATAACCCAGAGGGTGAAAACATTAAATTGAAGCCCAAGAACAAACATGGCGGTGGAATAATATGCAAAAATTGTCGGATATTCGTAGGTCATTATGAAACTAACAAGACCATAAAGGAAGACTGCCGTCTAAGACCAAAAGGACGGCAGGTGAATTCACTTTCAGTGCCGAGATATTGGCTAGATTTAATTTGAGGATTGCCCAGTCCCAATTACGACTTGATTTTGCGAATGTTTGGCATTGGGCCTTCAAACCGGATACTGGCTAAAGATATCAGCAAAAGCTATTAAGACATTTTTGAGCGTCGATGAATATGACAAACTATTAATGGATGGCAAACTAAGAATTTTGAAACTGTGCGTGAGAAATAACCTGACAACGGTCACGCAGGGTGTGCAAAAAGTCGCGGGTTTGCACTGAAATATCTCGATGGGGAAAACGAATCGTACCATCGTTACCTTGTCAGAATACTTAAATATGCTGGGCATGAAGAAACAACACAAAATTGTTTTTACGAGTTACGACGACTCGTTAAAATTTTTTTGTATTTTTGAAAAAGTAGAAAATTCGAGGCGTTAAATTATGCAACTTTTCCATGACTTAGGAGACGTGACGGGTATCAAAATATCTGATAAATTTGTATCGTAACCTCTACAATTTCGGTCTCCTGAAGTTTTTGTTTTGTTCATACCTACATAGTATGATTTTTCAAGGCTTGCAGATCCGGATCGTCATTAAGCTGCTCATCTCCGCCTTTATTTCTCAAATCCCGGCTTATAGCGAAAATGGCCGGCCAGCGAGCCAGACCGGGCGTGTCTGGCAAGGCATCAGACGTAATCCACGTTTCGGTACGGTTGTAGTCAGTCATCTTCCAGGTACGATAAGCCGATAGAGAGCACGAAAAAGTGTTCATCGCCGCTTAGCCGTCATGTTTTTGTTCTGGCGATGTTCTGGCAGGGACTCTCACGGTGATAAGCACTTGACAGTCTCCAGGCTACACTGTGAACGCCTAAAATGGAGTGCTGGATTTTGTTCTTGATACCATTGGTCGTGCATCCGGCGCAAGCACTTTTGGGCCAGAAACGGTTCCAATTAACGGCAGATAACCCGTCGTATGCATTAGCTGGAGGTGTTTTTGAATGGAAACAGGTGGAGCGGGGTTGTTACTTGGATTATAGCAATTACAGAGCATAAAAGTTGTTGGATGTCCGGGGTGTACGCTGATCGTTGATTACGCAAAACCCGGATGTAATGATAGTCATGGTGATCGAAAAGTTGGTGAAAATTCGGATCATTCAAGCGTAAATGCTGAGCATATGTTTTTTAGAACCCAGCCATCAAATGTTACGATCCTATTCCGATCTTCATCGATGGAAAAGTACCCAATCAACTCGGCTGTAATATGATTTGGTAGGAGCATATCTAGGCAAGAAACTTAGATATCCTAGGAGCTCCTGTGCAACATTCATGGCAGCCGAGACCCAATGCCAATGGAATGTCGATGCTGATTCGGTTGAGCTGACCTTTGGAGCCATCGACCCGCGGCCAGATATATTTGCGGTTTCGATTAGAGTTTTGGAGTGGATTGACGGTAGCTTTCCCTAAAACCCGGCTCATCAGATCCTACCACTTTCATTATTTGGGTCTCAACCATCAATTTAGTCAGCTACACATTCTTGCTATTTCCATTTTGGTCGGAAATCGAGAAAATATGCACCCAAGAAATCTGGCTACCTCCAAAACATATATTAACGTTTGTACCGCCCGTGATCATGTAGGTTAAGATACGGTATCTAAAAAATAATCCCTTCCATGTAGAAATAATTACACAACCTCCTGCATCCGTTCCACACTCGTCTTGCTCGATGTCGCCGGCACCAACGACACGTTTTTCATTGATCTATATTATGGCGGGGATCCAGGAAACAGGGCCGGAAACTTAATAGGAACCTTCAAGTATAAATCAGCTGTTGCTTTTCGAATTGTGTTTTAGCGTTCCGCCAGGTTCACCCCTGACCAAGACGGTGCCCGAAATCGACACCTATTCCGCGGCCACCACACTGGTCAACCGGAACACCGTTGGGGAACTGGCTCTTTTGTATGGGGTCGCTAATGACAAACTAGGTAAAACTCATAATATAAATATCACGCTCTTCAGAGTTTGCCTTCATTACCGTTTTGGCCGGGCCAAGCCATGTTTCCAGCTTCAAATACCCGTGGATTTTCGAGGAGGACCAGGATTTGTTTCCGGTCACCAAACTGCAAGCTAATTGTGAGAAAATGTGTTGTTAGACTACGCCACTTAACGGTTGCTTCTGAAAATGACGACATTCAAGAAATTTTTGGGTCGCTTGACATTTGCGCCCATGACCGTTAGGCCCGAGATGACTATACAATCGGAGTGTCCGGGCGAATGTGGGGGGTTAAATCACACCAAAGTGATGACTTTTAGTCAACGGCGCAATTTGCCAATCTCTAACAATTGACGACCTCACGGGCGGCACCTTCATCGTCAGCTCCGTGGGAACACTCAATAGCAACGTCACCAACACGTAGAGTATAACTTTGAGACTACAAAGTCGTGGTTTAGATACACCGCGACTGATGTAGGCTTCACATACCCGATTGGCCAGGTTCTTACCAAAGTTCGTGGCTTTCCTATAGATCTATCTTGTTTATCTAGCTGACATTCACACCGGACGCAGGACGTGAGCAACGTAGCGGCTTCCGAGTGACCTTGCACGGTGCGAAGAGGTTTATCAACAGCATTCCCGTCGAGACGACGCCGATGCAGCCGACCTACATGCTCAGCGTGTCCGAGATTGTGAACCCGATGTGAGTTCATCGGCGCTATCTTTTTCCATCTGATGCTTCCAGGCAGCGGCTCGACTTGCGCTTTACCAGGCTGGACCAACCACAAACTGCCAGGCTCACAATTTGTAGTCTCGATTCCGGTAGTACACCATCGCAGGAGGCCACTGGATTTAGTGACTGCACACGCCGGTTCCTACTGCTCGGGTTCTGTCGTATAGAAAATACTTTAGTGCCGACTTGACGACTCGGATGTTACATTGTTGCAACCAAAAACTCGAGGTGACCAACGAGAGCTTGGTCCCTTTCGACTACTCCAACTTTACCTATTTTACCCATGCGCCGTCCATCAGCTTTTCGGTGCAATTGGTGGAAGATGGTGGGACTCTTTTCCAACGTCTCTTGTCGGTTGTCGTTGTCGAGGTTTTCGCTTTCCGGATTTTGGCTTTCGGGAATTTGGTCTGTCGGGATTTTGGCGGCCGGTGTTTTGAACTGTCCGGATTTGACCTGTCGAGATTTTGGCTGTCGGAATTGTCTTCGTTCAATCAAATCTAGATTCAGACAAGCCGCTCAAAAAAAATTACATTTTTTATAGATGATGCGATCACGTTTAGCTTACCGTACAACATCTATGATGATGAAGAGCTTACATTTAAGGGTAAGTGAACGTATTTTTATGAAAAAGCGTTAATTCCCTTAATTTTTCGGTCTTTCAGTGCCCTATTCGGCCAAGAAAACGTTTGTCGGCATCAGTCTCCCTAGCCTCAAGGGCTATGCCACATACGAATCGCCAGAGGGCGCGTTGTACTATGGCCTGCTCAACCTGATCTTTTGGGTAAGAGCATAGCCCAGGTAACAAATAGAATAATAGCCGCACAGCACCTTCGACTGTGTCTACAACGTTTACCCAGGCTTCGTCAGCGGACAAAATGTTTCGACGTATCCGACGGCGTTCAGGTAATATTAAGGCTAGATTTTAAAGGTAGTCTCAGGAATTCCGACGTCTTTTACACACAATGGATGCTCTCCGGCACGTTTACCTTCGAAATTCCGGCCAAATGCATGCCGACAATTTCACTAGGGCGAATGGGTAAGTGGCAGGGATGTGGGGGATGACGCTACCTGAATTTTCAGATGCAACCGCTGACTATATGCTGCTGTCGTCGGATTGTACGGGAATGCGTTTACTGATTTCGCCGGAATACCGAATGATACCATTACAGTATTTGACGATGCGCTTGGCGGCAGTGAGCATCACTTATATATGTAAGTTAAGAAAGTTAGTTATCCAATCGGATAAGCTAAAAATGTAAGTTATTAAGAAATTCCTATTAAGAAATATACAAAATTCTTAGGCTCGCCTGTTGATCTCAAATTAGAATTGGTGGATATGCTCAATGTCCGAGTGGATATATATTTAGATCATGCTAACGGGACCCCCGAGCATCAGTGGGTCTTTCGATTTGACGTACAATCTTTTTGCAGTCAATTCAATGACACCCACACTTCATTCAACCTCACGGCCGCCCAGGTCACTAACCTGACGGTGAAGCTGCTTTTCGCGGTTTTTAGAAAACGCTTTAGATTACCTATGCAAGAGTCGGTAACCTGACGTACGAGAGAAATGGGTACTTTATGCGAGCCTATTTCCCGGACGCTATCGTAATGAGTTCGATGGAAACCACGACAAACTTGAAAAATCAGCCGCAATTATTGACCTTTCTAATTTTGATGATAATTTCTTCATTTGCTGCGTCCTGAATGTTGCTATGTAAATACGCTACGTGCCTGTATGTGTGTATCGTTATCAGCGTGAAGAACGGCATAACATAACTGATGAAGAACCATAAACCTGGACCTCGTCAGGTTTTCCGTCCAGAACTACTCGTCCTGGCTTATTTTTAATATGTCGAAATTCATAATGTCGAAACTCATAATGTCGAAATTTCATAATGTCGAAAGTTAATAATGTCGAAATTCCATAATGTCGAAATTCCATAATGTCGAAATTTCATAATGTCGAAATGTCAGAATGTCGAAATTTACATAAGCTAAAATTCCTGGTAAAGTCCCCGAATCCTAGACAAAAAAATGTTGCCGTGAAATAAGATAAAAAAATCGAATTTGGAAAAAATTTTTGGCTAGGATTTGGCGGTTTCACCGGTAATATTAGTCTATGTAAATTTCGACATTATGAAATTTCGACATTATGAGTTTCGACATTATGAATTTCGACATTATGATACCAATTCACTCGTCCTATCCTTTTCTTCTCGTCCTCGAAAAATAAAGACTTCCCAGTCCCTTTAGCCACCTGCAGGGGCGTAGCCAGAAAAAAATTTCGGGGGGGGCCCCCAAAAATTTTTTCCAAAAACCACAAAACATTAACGAGAAAACAGCGCCGCAGGCAAAATTTTTTGAAAAAAAGGTTACATAGCTCTACAAATAGCCGTAAAAAGTGAAAAATGCGCCGCGGCAGCAAATTTTTGAGAAATGAAAATCATAAGGGTCCCCCTTTATGAAATTTTCGGGCCCCGGCCGATTTCGGGGGGGGCCCCGGGCCCCCGGGGCCGGTATTACGCTACGTCCCTGGCCACCTGCCCGGTCAAAGCACACCGATCACCGAAACAATTATCACGCGCCCCCGATCTCAGCCCGGGTCAGTCGGCGCCGAATCTGATCGCTGTCTTGCAGCCCATATTTGCTCCCGACCTTCCCCATTCTTCTTCTTCTTCTTCTTCTTCACTCACACTATTCGTTCCGGTTACCCCTTCTCCTGTCCTCACCTGACCACACCTCATTCCCCCCTCCATACCTCCACTGTCCACCCCCCATTTGTGCCGGGTATCGACTTTTCGAGCAGACACACGCACACTCTCCCTTGCCTCCCAGCCGGGGGTCCATGCACTCTTCTGTGTCAAAACTATACCGACTCCGTGCTCTTTTGGACCCACGATCTTTGACCTTTGAGGCGGATACCTGGGAACTTCTGTATCAATGATTTTCCATGAAATTCCAGTAATCCCGTTTATTTTGAGCTACCAATTACTGGGCGTTGACATTGAGGCTTCTTGTAGGGTTTCTGTTGTCGTTGTTGTTTTCTTTGTCGTTGTCTTAGGTTGTCAGGAAGCGAGAGGTTGAGAGAGATATAAAAAAAATAAGAAAACCATTAAATCACAGCGTGACCGAAAAAAGAGCCTGAGATGGCGAGAGTGAGAGCGTGAACAAAAACTGTAGCTAGGGAGAGGGAGAGTGAAAGCCAGGAAAAAGGAGCTAGCGAAATTGAAACAGGGAAACAAAGAAGGCTAAATACAAATTTTTACATTGTTCTAAAATTATTTATGCAAAGTTAGACCTCCGCAAAGGTTTTACGCTCAATAGATTTTTCCATTACGTTCCTACTCCTCGCATAATCGCATAGCACCTTCTAGTAAATCACTAATCCTGGATTTTGTGCGTGTGCGCCTCCATTCCGGCGCCTCTTCACAATATGATGACGCGGCAGCACGCGGGGCGCTTTGGGGTCGCAAATATTGAACGGGACAGGCTGGCAATTTTGAAATTGAGCGTTTTTGGTGATGGGCCGGGCTGCGAGAGCTGTTTTGCCGGGGGGGTATTAGTTTGTGGGCTAGTTGTTAATTTGAAGGGGTAGTTTGCAACGATTTCTTGCTTGGCTTGACAATTGCTTCAAATCCCTCAAATGACTCCGTGGTTTCTTCACTTTTTAGGCATCATAGTTGGGTATTTGATGGTTTTCTGGGGTTATGATTTTTTGATGTAAACTGTTTTTTTTGGCAAAAATTACGAATCCTTTTCGTTTTTAAGGCCTCATCCACGGATATCTGATGATTTTATTTTTCTGAGACAGTAGCCACAAGCCTATAATCTAAAATTAATGATCAAGGCACATTTCAGTAGTGCATTTGAGAGATGAAAGCTCCTAGAACAGCTAAACCGACCCGGTCTACCGAGTTTTTTTTGTTGGTCCAGCCGGACTCGCGGCAAACAGTCGTGTAAGCGCCACCGCCTAAAAAGTGGAAAACCGCGAGAGTTTTTCAACGGTTGCTATAAACGTTCCAAAATATAATATTTTAACGCTGTTACGTGTTTTCGCGGCGTTACCCTCCAATAGATACAGTTATGATTAAATCGGCCACAAATTTCTTGAATCTTACTTCTCATCTCTCCTAAAATGTTCCCTGATCTCGGCGTCGTTTGCTATTTTCCACCGCCAGCACATCCGTCAATTAGTTGGCGAATTATAGTCTGTCATAAGGCCGAAAACATGGAATCCCGGGAATCGGGGGGAATTATCGCCCCGTGGGAAACGGTTCATCCGGCCACAATTTTGTCTATCGGTCTACCGGCCCACGCGGTGCATAATCCACTGCAGAAATTGGCCGTTAAGGTATTGCTTGAATCCTTTAATTATCTATTGCAAAATCGTTAAAAACTGTGTTTGCAGACAATATTTCGCTTAATAACATTAGGCTTTTCAAATAATTGTGTTTTAACAAAACCGAACCATAATTATGATGAAAAAACGCTCTAGCGAAATTTTGATCCCGATTCCGTATAACCACTCTAAAGATTCCAAAACGACAGACTCGGTAATTTCCTATGGGTCACGTTATTTTTGAGCGGTTCACCTGGTTGCGATGTACCAAGAGGGATGTCTGAACTTTCTGCGGGGTTTCGACAAAACTTGGAACATTCCCTCGGAAAAGCGTGAGATTTCCGCCAGGCCACTTTTCTGATTTGGATTATTTTCGTCTGGAGGACGGCAAATTTTTGGCCTATGACCGATTTCTCATGTAATTTTTTGTATTCAATTTTTTCGGCTTCCGGCTTCTCGCATTTCCGGGGCTGAATGCTTCATTAAGCACAAATAGGCTTTTGTTGAGGTAGAAAACGTCATAATTTTCTAGTCTTTGCTGCCTCCCACGGCTTGTACCCCCACCTTTCCCCAGGACGGCCAATTAGCATCAAGACGGCGAAAATCGCTCCAGGTGAACCCGATTTTGCGCTGTATTTCTCGCCCTATCTCTCACCTTCTCCCGATATCGTGCTCTCTCTCCTTGTCCCTTTCTCTCTTTCTGCCTCTATTTCCTTCTTCCTCGCTGGCTCGCATCCTTCCGTTCACCTGCCACTTTTCGTTTACCGGATTCAGACACAGCTTTTCGGCTGTTTGTTTAAAAATCTACAGATGTTTCATATTGACCAGCTCATGTGCCTGTGTAATTTAAGTTTTATGCGTCTTTACTTTTTTATCTATAAACTAAGAATATTCGATTTCACCTTACCAGTTCTGTATCCTTTAGTGAAAGCACCGGCCCTTCAGCCGATGCTACTATGAAGCGCAAAAATGCCCGAGGTCGAGATGAAATATGAAGAAGTCATCGATTTTACAATACTCAAGTACCGCAACAACAACTATGAACAGTCGGAGGACCGGAAGTGCCGCGTATGCGGCGCCAGTCCGGCTGGGTTGTACTATGGAGCTGTGGTTTGCCCGTGAGTTTCAGACATTTTTGGATCACTCAGATGGGACCACTAATGCGTTTGTTCTTTCAGAAGCTGCAAAATCTTTTTTCTACGGGTCACAACGGTCGGCGCCGCAATCAAAGAGTGCAAAAATTATCGCCTATGCTCGTCGAAAAACTTTCGAGGGCTCGGTAAGTGAGCTTTTTGACTCCCTAGGTATCATATATTTTCTAGGCAAAGCCAAATGTATACCATGTCGCTATGAGAAATGTTTGGAGGTCGGGATGATACCGGAAAGTGAGTATTAACAAGGATTAACGACGAAACCAAACAATGACAGGGAACAATTATTTTTTTTAGTAACTGCTCGTCGCACCGGATGCAATTTGAGAGAGAAACGAGCTTTGGTAGGGCAACGATATCAAATTCCTGCGTCTGCCACGACGGATAAGGTAAATTAAATCGATAACTACTATTCTTTGTCGAGTTATTTAAATGTCACGCATCAGGCGATTTAGAAAGAGCTCCAGATGGCCGCGAAATTTTTCACAAAACCTGTCTTTGCCGACAGCTTGGGTGGGATTAAACAGCTGGTCAACCTGGAAAAGTAACTTCAATGCTCCTTTCACCCAATTCTCCTCAGATTGTTATCAAATGACGACCCTACCGTATCCGTGATTTTTGATTTCCCAATAGACGGGGCTACGACGATTGACCAGCTAATCAAAAATCCGCTGGCGCTATGCCCCAGAGTTCCGGTAAGTTCTATAAATTGTATTTAGATTTATGATTTTTCCTCCTGGCATTGCCCTTAATTTTGTTTCGCTAAATACGCATGTTCTGAAATCGAGCATTTTTTTGAAAACCCGTAATTTTTTCAGGTTGGCTTCCACCTCTCCACAAACAACCAAGTTCCGGAGCATTTGATGATGACGATGGGCTTCCGAACATTTTCACGGTCGCTGGTGATGATTATTGATTGGTTCCGGATAATGCCAGAATTCCAAGCATTTCCAGAAGCCGATCAGGTAATGATTCTTCCTACCGTCTTTTGCCGTCTAATAAAAGTCTCAGAAAATCTGAGTTTCCAGTTGACGTTCATTCCCCATATCTACTTCAAATCGGCGTTGTTCATCGACTATTTCTACACTCACAAATATAACTTTGACGGTTTTCTAGTCTGCCTCGGCACACGGGTTACCCATGATGATATCAAGCTTTTCCAGCAGTAAGTTTTATATTTATCCAGATATTCGACATTATGTACCGCTTGAACTTGTTGGTCATTTTGCGTGAATACGCATTAAATGACAATATTTTTAGACTGGAGAAAGGATTCGGGTCTCTGATCTCCCATGGTAGGGACTACATATTACCGGCGATGAAACGGGCGGCGCTAGCCGACGAGGAGTTTGTGTTAATGAAAAATATACTAGCATTTTGTAATTGTGAGTTTTTAAGCATTAAAATGTCTCTGAATAGCTTAAATTCGCGAAAATCATGAAAAGATGACGATTTTCAGCCATTGGCTTCTCCGACAAAGCCGTAGAAATCCAGCGAAAAGCATACCAGCGATATTGTTACATGTTGTTAAAGGTATCATTTTATTTCGTAATTTTTATGTGTGATCTGTTTTAGCATTTAAAAGAAAAGTATCACTCTGAGAGCAAAGCCCTTGAAGTCTTCTACGAATGCACAAATATCATCAACCATGTGCAGGTTGGAAAACAGCTTTTTCAAATTTATAACAACCATTTTTAGTACATCTGCAATATAACGATGCCACAGTTTGAAAAATCGATTATTCTCAACGAATCCGGGATGGTTGGCAAGCTTTGTGAAGACTTTTTCAAGCGGTTGCGATAAATCATTCCGCATTATACTATGTACAAATTTATTAAAAAAAACCGTGAGCATTTACATTCCTTCAGATTCTGGAATTATCCGCCCTTTCTTATCGATCGTCAGCACAAAACCACCCTTTTTCAACAAATCCATATTTGTCAAGACAAGTTCTTTACGGGAGATTCTGGAGGTAGATGTACCATCTAAAGGGAAGAATAAATTCACCTAAAATTAAATATACTAACCATCCTCAGCTTTTATCACGGTCACAAAGAGCCTTCTCCGCTTCTTCTTCGCATGCGGCAGATACCACCTCATGTTTTGCTTGTGCAAAAATGTGTAACCTGGTGGGACGAATTTTCGGTAGTAGATTTTGTGGAACCAATTCGTGCAAAACCACGGGCCTAAAGATTTCAATTTAAAAGGTTCTTTTTATAAATTTTACTGTTAACGTTACTTTTCGATTGGTACGATTTTCTTATCAACTTTTTTGACCCTAATTTTTTGCCGCCTCCCTTTTCGGGGAATTGATAAGCCATTTCCCAGATAGCCGGCGGACTAATGATTTTCTTGTTTACACCGGTTTTTCGGCTTCCTTTTGCTGTTTACCTTGCCTTTCGCGTATCGGTAATTCCACCGAACTCGGCTCGTCAACATCAATTTTGATATGTACGGCTTGCCCTTCTGTATTTTGCACCTCGATCGTTGGGCCCATTTTGTGATCCCATAAGTCTAAAAAACGGCGTTGGTTGTGGGTTCATTCAACTTACAGATTTCTGGGGATATCTCGAACCAACTGTCGTGTAAAGTAACACTGCACCCGGCCCGAATTGGGTGATTTTCACAGATTGAGATCATAAAATCTGAAATCTTCGATTTTGAAAGCCATAGACGAAATACCTTCTTCTTGCCCGTCCCTTATCAATCGATGTGTTCTTTCCTGTTTTTGGAAAATTGTCAAGTAGCCAGAATCGAGTCCTGGCTTTAGCTCCTAAAAATGCTTACCTTATTAAGTTTTGAGATTGTAAGGTATCTTTCTTCCCTGATAAGGCACCTTTTTCTCGCCGGGCTCGATGTGCACCAAAGTATTTGGCGTCGAAACATACCGATACATTTCATATTCATCATCTTTTGTAAATCCGGTTCCCGCGATCGCTAAAAGTAAACAATTTTATTAAAATTTCAGTTTCAATTCATTTTTAATGCAAACCTGAATTTATTTCCTCAACTGGCGCCCCGAATTTTATCACCGACACGCTGACGAGGGTTGTTTTGTGGGATTGATTATGGACGACAACGATTCCCTAGAACATTGATGATAACTTTCTGAATTAACGAATAAAAATAGATAGAAGCAGGCCGTACCTGTTCATACGGCCCAGTTGTTATTTGAGCCTTCCTATGCTTGATCTTTCGCTCATGCGGAAGTTTGGGTTTTCCGCAATGTATTCCCATCCAATTTCTAAAATTTTCATTGTTTCAGAGAACTTGCAAAATCGGAAAAATAAAGTGGTAAAACCAATAAAAGCTAGCAATAATTGCTAAACTAGCGTGCACTCAAGCTTTTCCCCAAAAAGCAAAAAGATTTGCGTTCGGGGGGAATCGAACCCCCGTCGAATGCTTGGAAGGCATCCATGCTGACCATTACACCACGAACGCGGCTGACAGGGGGAGAGGCTGGGCGGGTTGAGAGGGAGAGGCTAATGCAGCGCAACAGGGTGGGTAGCAGCCGGTTTGGGAAGACAGCGAGGGAATCATGGCTCCAAGATAGATCGGGACCATAATGTGGATCAGAAAAACATCAAGGTATCCTGGTTGTTAGTTGGATAAGAGACACGTATATTCGAAATATAGGCATTAAGTCTAGAGGCCTAAATAACCAAAATTAAGCTGTAGCCAAATCTTCCCAGCCACATTCATCGGGGATCCCAAAATGAATCATAACCGCCGCGGCCACATCAAGCCGAATTGTACAATTTCCTCAAACAAATACCAGAACCACGAGACGTCCCCCACTACCCCTAGAAGCTGATTCACCCCGGATGGCTGGGGGTGATAAAAGGGCGGCGGATGGCATTTTTGAATATTTTTGTGTACGGGGAAGAAAGGTTCGGTAAGTTTAGTGGCTGGGTGATAGTCCGGGAATTTTAGAATTATTAGAAAAGTGTGACTAGAAATTCAAAGGATCAATTTTCGGAAATCTGAAGTTATCTGAGGGCCTAGTACCTAAAAACCAAATAAAGGATGAAATAAAACCAGCTCAATTTTTTCTTGTCTGTAATGTTTTTTAAATTCGTTGATTTAAATGTATTACACAAATTTCTTAAATTAATTGTAGCCTCGGAAGCCAAAAAAAATTCAACTGATCGATGATGACCTCCGATTTCCCAGCCACCGCCTACTCCAAATGTCAAAATAAGAGCATCTACCATGTAAGTGGCCTGAAAAATGCCGGAATTGCCTAAATACGACGGAATGACTCATCGTGTAGTTGAGCGTGAAAACCGCAGGCTCGCCCCAAAATTTGCATAAACACCCGTCAATAACTGCACCGAAATTTTTTCCAGGACTATGTGGTGAGGCCAACGATGGAAAAATTGCTCAACTACGGAGATGAAGTCAAGGGAAAGAAGATTTTAGACGCCGGGTGTGGCCAAGGTATTAATGAAAATATATGGTAAATTTTTATGAAGGTTTTCATCTCAATTTTCTACTCGATTACCACCCCGATTCGATTCTTGGGTTTGACAATAATGGAAAATTACTGGAAATCGCGAGGGCTAACTATTCAGGTATTTTTATTATCAAAAATTTTTTTGCATAATGAAAGTCTATTTTATAGGAAATGAAAAGGTCAAATTTGAATGCCAATCGATGGAAAACCTCACATTAGAAGCGAATCATTACGATTTGGTGATTGCCATTTTTGTGTTGCATTTTAATAAGACAAAAGGGGATCTCAGAAATGTTAGTTAAACCTTTATATTTTGGGATCATCAAGTATAGGCAATTTTTGGACTTGCTAATTCCATGAAATCCGGCGGGTTTTTCCTGGCCGCAATCCCGAACTACAGCCCCGAATCAGTGGTTTGGACCGAGGAGGAAGCGAGAAAATTTGGTGGGTTTAGATTTCGAATGCAAATTTTATGCAGCAAGTAAACTCAATTCTCGATTACGATAAAAACATCTAAATAAACCCAAATTCAATTTTTCAGGCGCTGCCAACTTCTACGACCAAACCCAAGCTTGGCAAGACGGCATCGAAGCCACGATCAAATTCTATGACAAAGGCAACGGTTTTTCAAAAGTTTTCAAAATTTTGATGATTTTCAGAACATATCGGAACCGCGACGTGTGCTCTTTGGCTAAAATCAACGTATCAGCAACTTTTTGAAGAAGCCGGATTCATTGATGTAAGTATCTAAAAACGGAGCACAAATTCAGTCAATTTCAGATCAAGTTCAACCCTGCAACAATCGCAGAAGAAGGTCTAAAGGAACTTGGAAGAGAATATTTCCACGATTTCCTGAATCCACCCAAGGATTTCTTTGTTACAGCCCGGAAACAATAAATTTTTCGACTTCACTCTGCAAGAGTGCCGCAGAGCAGTAATTACAAAAGGGCCGCAACTTTTCAAATGCCGAATGTCGAAAATTGTATTTTTTTTGATAACCTATATTTGTGCAGTAGTCGCGGTCACCCCAAAAAATGGCCAGCTCCACCCCGTGCCATTGACAAGGCGCTTCATTATATCGAGGTTCAAGGCGGCAGTTTCAAAAATTTTCGGAAAAAACGTTTCTGGGGAAATAAACCCATCAATGCAACATTATCAATTTATTCAGAACCAGCGCCCAAAACCCGCTTCGCGGGCCTTGGGCGCTGGAATGGTGCGTTTGCATGAGAAATTTGACTTTCCGGTAGCTCGGGTCCTTCGGACCCCCCCCCCCACCACACGCTCGCGTGCAACTCGCAAGAATGAGGAAATTTGTATTTTTTCACATTATGCAAATTACCCCCAAAAATGAATAAAACCGGCTTTAACTTTGTAAACTTGTATTTTATCGAGATTCTGAAAACGCCATCGGAAAGAGGAGGGTCGATTCCCCCTAGTGACAAAGAATCAGCGCATTTTATCCAGGGAAAGGCCCTTAAATCGGTCCTCGAAAGTGACATCCACACACACACACACACAGTTACACGCCAAAATTATATAAGGTAGGATTGAATCAGTGATAGATGGCGGCAGCAATTGTGATCAGCACAGCAAAAAAGGCGGACCCAAGGCCTGCAAAAACATTCAAGTATTTAAGATTGAAAACGGTACACTTACGTCCAGCTGTTTTTTTCACCCAAAAATCGTCCTCGCCGAGGGAATATCTAGATATGGGGATAGCTACAAAGACAGTTCTTACCTGAGGAAGAAGTCGTGGGAACACCCATCCGGTGACGCTGTGGCGGTGCAATTCCAAGCATAGTTTACAATGAGATAATCCATTCCGGTGTTCAGTGAGTAGTTCTTCGCATCGTTCAGCAGGCTAAAGAGACTACAGGGTGTCCCAATAAAAAAGGTCACGCTGGCATTTTGCTATTTCAAATCCGATCGACTTAAAATTTTGCACAGAGGTGCGGAAGGGAATTTAAAATGTTCACAGAAACTTTCAGCCCGATCGGTCCAGTAGTTTTCGAGTTATAGCAGAAATAAACTTTGTTTTACGTTTTTCACCTGGATTCCGCCGGAATTGAGCCCTGGAATGTATGGAGAAAATGAAGCGCCGACGCTTTTTTATCCTAGGAATTTTTTATTTCGCAAAATTCGGGTCGAAAATAGGCTATTTAAGTATTTTTTTAACAAGGGCTAACGACGCCAATGTTAAGAAGAATAAGGGATTTAGAGCCGGAAATTTATGTTAATTGATGCAAAGTCCAAAAAGATAGCCGAAAAAATGAAGCTACAGTGTGAGAAAAACAGTATTTTTACAATAACTGGAAAACTACTGTACCGATCGGGCTGAAAGTTTCTGTGAACATTTTAAATTCCCTTACGCACCTCTGTGCAAAATTTCAAGTCGATTGGATTTGAAATAGCAAAATGCCAGCGTGACCTTTTTTATTGGGACACCCTGTATAATCAACTAAAAAACCAAATGGTCGCGAGGTCGGAGCTGCCTAGGCACTCAGGCCTGGGCTTGAGCATGAGCCTAGGCCTAGCTCATGCCTAAGCCGACGCCTGAACAGCCGAAGCCTAAGCCTAAGCCGACGCCCAAGGTTCAGCCCAAGCCTCAGCCTAAGCTTAAGCCTAAGTTTTTCGCCTGCGCCTCAACCCGTTTTTTTACCGTACTCACATCGTCTGATTTTTGTACAACACCCGAACGTCCATCCCAGCCGGTACCGGATTCATCATTTCCAACACGAACCCCCGGGAATTCCCGCCGCCCAGCTCCAAGCAGGTCTGAACATAATACATATAAAGCTTTTAATTCAGAAATATAATTCCTCACGTTATTAACATAAAACCACATCTGGTGCTCGCTGCTGCTGCTGTCACAATATTGGGGGATGTCCAGGATTCCGGATTCGCAGCCCTCGGTAAGTTGAGGATTGCAGCCTGTCAATGCAAAGGTAGAAGTCGGAGGTCAATGAGTAGTACCGTTGGATACTGACGGGAATACGGTTAGGGTGCAATCGTCTGCGCTCGACACCTCCAAGGTGATGAAGCTGGCATAGATCTCGTCGGGTAGTAGATTGCGTTGGAATTTTCGGTCTCCGATCTTGCCCTGTCCTCTGGAAACATTTTCATCAATAGTTTTAGATCAAAAATAACTAGTGGTTAACTGACAAGGAGAAGTTTTCAGTGGCAATCGAGTTTTCAGTGGCAACCAAAGCTAGCTTGAGCAGAATTTTACGCTGATTTCGAATTTCATTTTACAAACAGCGTTAGGACCAGAATTAAAAAAATGAAGCTTTGAGGCGTGGATAGGCCTGAAAATGACCCAGTTTCGAGGGTTTGTTGCATGTTGTGCCAAAAGCTTCATAACGGATTTGCATTCTTCGCTTTGCAGATTTTGCAAGCAATTCGGAAATCAGTGCAAAATGGATTCTGCACCAGATATGCTAGATCCAGACTGGAAACTAGATTTTCACGAAAAACGTATCCGTGTATGTAAGACCGTAAATTCGAACAAAACACACCCATAGAAATGATTGGCATCCGTCTGAACTAGCCCCTTCCAAATATTCATCGAACATGCCCCGGTCAGACCTAGTCCCATTGCGGCCTGTCGTCCCAAGGAGGGCTATTTTATAAAACAATTACATTGCAATATACAGGGTGAGGCATATATATCGAAGCACCTACCGAAGGCCCTCAAAAATTTAAGAAAGCTCGGTGGGCCGTGGTATTTTGCCAATATGTAGCCACTAGGGCTACCTTCAAGTTCCCAAAATAACAAAACCGGGTATTCTTGGAAAATTTTTGTTTCATGTAAAACTTGAGGCTTCTGGGGTTGGGCTGGCACGCAAGCCCTTGGAGTTCGATTTCGGCAGGCCTCGAAAATCCTGGTTCGGGCACCTATGCGTGTCAAAAACATTGGTGCGATGTCGAAACAACAAATAACGGTCCCAGCTGTAGTTTATTTAGCTACATCAGAAGGAACTTTCATATTATGACACAGCTGTCCTCAAAATGCATAGTAAAAATCATAAAATTGTAGTTTGCGACTTTTATGTGTATAGTTTTCTGATTTGGTCAACGGCACCTGATTTTGCCAAAGACCTAGAATGTGAAAAATTGCTGAAACAAAAAAGTTTCCTTCGAGCGTTGATTTTATAATACATTTTGAAGTCGGTACGATAGAGGGACCTGAGTTGGGTCAGGGCTTGATTTTTGACTATAACAAAATTGTTTCGTTTGTTTTTGGCTATCCGACTTCTGCAATGTTTAGATAGGTCTTAATCAAGCTAGAATCGAGAATCCTGAGACGGTGCAACCTTTAGGCCGATCTCTAGGAGCAGCGTGCCAACACACCACTTTTTCGACAAAACGGCTAACCTTTTCTAAACGATAAATAAAAAACAAAGCAGTCGGCGATCGTTTTTCTTTGACCCCTGCGTCAGGAACCACTTATTTTATTATGCTAAATATACACAATTCCCAAAAACTGTTTAGTTTTTTGCTTGCATGCGAAATTTCATGGCCCGGGGGCGCTTCGATATATATGCTTCACCCTGTATGAAATTTCACCTGATGGACAATATATTTCCCCTCCGAGCCCTTCCTGAACTGGAACTTTGACCGTTCGCCGTAATACCCAGTCGACTCTGCGGACAGGACACGGTAGTTTTTGGCGTCTGAAATTTTCGGTTATTTGGGTGTTGTATCTATCCATTAATTAAATAGTGAATGTATGCCCACCATCAGCATTCGCGAACAGTTGATGGTAGGTCTGGCAGTCGTCGATGCGCCCAGTCGCTTGGACTTCGATACGAAGCGCTCCAGGGGCGATTGTGTATGCTGTTTGAGTTGTCGCGCTGCAAAGTGTTAATTTTGACAATATTATCACAATTCTTGAGCTTATGAACCCGCCTAACTAACTAACTTATTTGGCAAAGTAAGCGGTTTCCCGTCCAGCGTGGCGGCGACCGCATAACATCCGTAGCCGACTGATGGGAAGAAGACAGAGGTGAGTGAACTACAAATTTGAATATAGCTGGAGAATCAGAACTCACGTATTACATCCCTGTTGCACTAGATTATAGATAACGCTTTGTCCCTTATGTGTCAACAATTCTGAATTGACGTCGACGAACTTGGTTTTGCACATGTTGTATGTGAAATTGGCGATGGTTCCTGGTGAAATTTAAAAGATAAGGGTGTCGAAAATTATTACCATTCATTGGTGTCGGAGTGGCATCGAGGATGCCTTGAAGCTGTGGCTCGACAAGAAATTCGCCAATCAGAGGATGCGACTCCATCAGGAGCTCGGCTCTACCGTAGTAGTTCCAAAAGACCAGCGCCAACCAGAAGAGGCCGCCTGTCGACATTTTGACTGACTGGCTAAATTAACTTCGCAAAACACAGTTCTGCTATCGAATTTAGATGAATATCGGGATACGACATTGATGAGCAAAATTCGTTGCCCTTTAAGAATGTTTAGAAAACCATAAAGACACAAAAGGAATAAAAACAACATAATTCGCGTTTAGATGTCGATATTGCTGTGATGCGCCAAATGACGCTCCCACGCCATTATCTATCAATGGACATGGATGGATCCTCATAATCCAATAGAAACAAAAATCTTACAAGGAGTGCTTTTTTGAGTCATCTGCAAAACCTCACGAGACCTAGCTCATTAGATAGAGAATTCGATTCTGAACAAAACCCCGTTGTTCTTTTTTTGCAGAATGGCTATCCCTGATTTTATAAAATTGTAAAACTAAACCCAAAAGCCTCTCTTTTGGCTCGAAAGGCACTCATGGTAAGGGACGGCCACTAGTATTTTAATTTTATGAAATCAGGGATAGCCATTCTGCAAAAAGGAACAACGGAGTTTTGGACAGAATCGAATTCTCTATCGAATGAGCTAGGTCTCGTAAGGTTTTGCCGATGACTAAAAAAAAAACACTCCTTGTTAGGCAAATGAATCGCTCTTGGAAGAACTCGACAGCCGGCCGACCTTAGAAGCCGATTCTGGTGCTTAATAGGTAATAATTCTGGTGTAAGTGTCGTGCGTAGTTGTGCTCAACATATACAGACAATTTCTACAGAATTACTGCTAGACTCGGTATTTACAGTAGACTTGAATAAAGCGCAATGCAAAATTTGAAAACCTCCAGGTGAGCTGGGCTCCGAATGAAGGCCCCCCTTTGCATTACTTATAAATGAGGAAAACTCTAGATAAGAGCTCCCCGCCCCGCGATTTGTCGGTGACAACCGTACCCCAGATCGGCGATGACCTCACCCGTCCGCCCATTCGCTTGCAATTTCGAAACATCCCGATTTCAGCACAGTAACCGAATGCCGGAACGCACGCCCACTCGCGTCTGTCTCAATGTCAGCAATTTGGTATTTTTTTGCCCGGGATACTGTAGCCCGGCTCAGGCGCCGTGCTGCCGGTCCCCCTGCCTGATAAGGTGTTTGTGTGGAGGTTATACCAGAAATTAATCCCTTTATGGCAGGCGAGCGGCGCAAAATGTACGGCAGGATGGAAATCGAATTCTTCGAAAACTTAGCAGGGCTGCGACATGGCGATTTTGCGACCTTACACTGTATCGTCGTTAAAATCTAGCTTTAAGTTCCTGCTCCAGACAGAAAGGCTCGCGTTTTTCCGTAGTTTACGAAGTTTATGAAGACCAGATTCGGTGTTTTCAATAAAGAATTTGCGCTTTCTATCCCTTCAGACAGCAGATAACTATTTGAATCCAATGTGTTTTGTTGTGTGTATTATTTTGGTAAAAGTCATCGAGCACGTAAAAAACTGGTAAAATTAAATACTAAAGCAATTTTAAGTAGTGCTAATCAACCCTGCCCTTATGTTGCGAAATTCCATTTTTACAATGCCAAACGGTGACCAAAAATCATCCGGGCGGAAAACTGTTTCTCATCAGCGTAAACTCGTTTCGAATCGACACTTCTGACGGCAGTTCCGGGCCGTACTATCGATGAATCACCACGCGAGGCCAAAGAGTACGCCCAAATTTCATGGCTCCCCAGCCAAATGTGGCACCGGCTTATCACTATTGCCGCCCGACCAGTGGTACCGTAGCTGGCGGGAACACACCACTAAATACTCTTATTTTTCTGTTAAACTGGACCATTATGCTATTCTGAAGGTAAGTACTAACTTCCTCAAATTACTTAAATTTTTCGATAACTTTATAATGGCAATAACTCCATTTTTATTAAATTTTATTTTAGCGTGACGATCAATACATACACGGTACATTTACAAGCATCAAGCCCATAGATAGTTAGATTCAAATATGGCACCCAGGCCGTTGGGACCCTAAAGCCACACTTCTTCTAAAATCGATCAAGCTAAACATACATGCTTAGGAAGGTAAAGTAGATGGCATAAACCATGTAGGCGAACGCTACAAATAAAAAAGCGACCACCAGCCGTTTGTCGAGCCCAACACGCAATCGCGACGTCTAAAATCTCTTCGGTTTCCCTAAAATAATCGTCGAAACCTGATTCGTCACGATAATCCTTGGATTTGTTGGGTCGACTGTGGTTGTCCGGGAACCATCTAAAAACGGATAAACTGTTATACATTTTTCGCCAAATTCTCTACTCTCGGTTCTCAGCGTCTTGCGGCCAAACACCTTCATCGGGTAGAGCTTGCACACAATGACCGCATCCGTTGCGAGGATAAGCAAAAACATCCCTCCCTGAAAACGACGAGAATTATTATATCTTATACCGAATATCGTACGCCTAATTTTCCTGTTGGGCGAAAAACTAGCCAATGACGTGATCCTAAGTATTTAGTTGCGTTTCTAAATTATTCAACCCTATTTTTGGACCAAAGAACTGCCCTGAGCGCTGTAAAATAAGTTTACAAAATATAATTTTTTGGTTGCAAACCATCTATTTGTTCCTAACGCTGAGTTGTAAGGTTTTTACATTTATAAATAAAGAAAATTGGTGAGGTTGCTTTTAACTGGTTGCATTAAAAAAATTTGGCATTCCCGGAAAAAGTTGGTTACCCACGGATGATATTAATGCAGTATTATACCTTTAACACCATCAGCAGAATACTGACAACCCTAGTGATGTCCGATTTCGCAGGGTCGTAGGTGAGGTAGTAGCCGGGGATCGCATACATCGTGCAAGGGCAGACAATGAAGTAAACTGCGACGCTAGCTAAAAAAGTAGAAGTTTTTTTGGTTTTTTTTTTAGCTAAAATTAGATGACGAACGGTAAGACTATAATTCACGCTCACCCAGCTGGTGCAAACTTTTGTACTTTGACTCGCCGTTGGTCTACATGGTTGTAAAGTATATCAAAATGTTCGTCATATTTTTGCGAGTATTTTTGTAAACTTGACCCCCCTATGGCGCAACAAGAGGTGATTCAAGAGGTCTAATCTAATCCCAAAATTTCACCTATTGCCAAAGCGGTCGGAATCGACATCGACAACAGTGCAGCGCGTAGTTCAAGCTTCCAGAAAAATGACGGAGCATAGATGGCGATCAAGTGGAGGATGGAGAGCATGTAAAAGACATAGATCTGTACGTAATATCGAAAATTCAGCCATAACGCGAATATGTAGAACCCAGTGGCCCCGAACGTTTCGAATTCAAAGAGGCGTGCCAGATAGTCGTGGGTGTTGTAGAGTATGATATGGGCAGTTTCGGTCAACACAAGGATCAGGTTGGCCAGGGTGATTGGGTTCGGATTCTCAAGGTATATGCATGATCCAGCACTCGCTTTTTGACCATTAATAGTGCGCGGCCGAATTTTTATGCCTAGTTATTATATAGAGCTCGTAGCTCTTTCAAAGCCGGTTTCTTTCCTTAAAGGGGCTACGAACTGCCAAATCAAAGCCCTTTTGGGAGGGCTCTTTGATTTCTGGCAAATTGCCAGCGAGCGCTGCGGGACCAGAGCACTCACTCTTTCGCTTTTTGCGCGAAACTGTTTTAGCCCAGTTTCTTTGTGAAAACACTATAATTTGTGCATTCTGAGCCCATTTTTGAAATCCTCACTCAATTTTAAATAGTTTTGGTGTTTTAAGCATCAAATTTGGCCCAGAAACAGCCGAGAACGTGATTTCGAGGTGACAACAGGCTATTTCAAATTTGCGAGCTTCCCGGCCCCGGGGTGTACAGAGGCCTCCGACGTCCAGGCCTCCGATTTTCGGTCCGTCACTCAATTTTTGGCATTTCTGGGCCCCTTTAAAGCGAAATTTTTTCTAAGAAATATATAAAACGTTTTATGCAAAAAAAATTAACACACACACACTAATTTTTCGGCCCTTAATCGTTTACCTTTCTAAATTCCATACGCGAAGTAGCAAATACATTTAATGCAAATAAGAAACATTGCAACCCCAAATTACCATAATCGATTCCGGTCAACATTTTGTGGATGACAAGGTTGCGTTAAGTTGCCAGCGGTTTGGATTGTAACCCCCAGAACAATCACCACCGTGGGATATTGCACGGAAATCACCGTAATTTTCGCATGTCAATTGGAGTGTCTGGCAGGGTTCTCCAAGGTTGGTCCAGTGTTCTAGATGAACCCTCCCCAAAAACTGTTCTAACGCGCAAAAATCGAGAATAACGGCTTTATTTAAATGTCACGATTAATACGTATATGGTACATTTACAAGCGTCGAGCCCATAGATAGTAAGATTCAAATACGGCACCGGTCGGGTGGGAACCTAAAAATGCCCTTCTCAATGCCGACGTTCAGACCGACACGTTAAAGAATAAATAGTAAACCAAATAGACAACATAGGCAACAATGATAAATAAAAATGCTATCACTAGTCGTTTATCCAGTCCAACACGCCATCGGGAGGTCTAAAATGTCCCTTGTTCGTTAATTATGATTTTTGCCTGATTGGTGATGATAATTGTTAGATTTCTTGCCGTGTCCACTGTTGTTGTTCGGGAACTTCCTAAAGAAAACATACAACGTCTTTTCATCCCACTACGAATTCTTACTTTCATTTTTCACTTACTTCCTTCCTAGCACGTTCATACGATAGAGTTTCAACTCGATCAATTATCCCGTCCGTCAGCAAAACCATATTCTTTTGCTTGGCGATTTCTGATATCATTAGTCCGAGAATGGCCCGGCCGGGGGGCGGGGGCGGGGGGCAGATGTTTGGGAGTGCGCGCCCCCGCCTCTCTCCGAAGCCCTGGGGGCACGTTGAATTCGTGTACGGACTGTCGGGAAGACGGACATTACATAGAAATTTAGGTATAGTAGATACTTTACATAAGCAATGACTTTTAAAAATAAGGATTTAAAAGTAATGTCGCTCCCATGCGGATCCATACTTTTCGCGAGCGGTGTCTCCTTGCAGCTCTCAAAAAAAATACACCCGATCGGCGCTCTTTGATTTCGTGGGCGTCTGCCGTTTTCGTAAACGTTTCCGAGATGAGACTGAACATTGTTGTAGGGGTAAAGCGGGGCCAGCGGACATCATAGCCTTTTTCAAGCAAAAGATGTGGGAAGCTACCGTATTTTTTGTACTGCTTCAATGCATCCACGCGTTTGACCCAACCGAAGATTTGGGGCTTAACCTCAGCCCGCAATTCTGTGAGTTTTTGTGTGTGCGTGTTTTGGCTTTTTTGGCTGGCTACTTATAAAACATTTCGGGAATGATTTTTGAAAATTTCGGCACTTACTATTCGGCAATTATTTTTGAAAATGCGACCGTTGAGACTCCTTTTCAGACTCTGGCTCCAAATTAGCTCCCGCATCACCGGAGGTTGATGATCAGCTACGGAGGCGCTGCGCGACGCCCCGTTAGTCTTTGTTCAAATTTCAGATTTCAAATGTCTAGCGAAGCGTCCGAATATGTTGCGGGGTGGCCAGGCGATGGTCAACGAGAGGGACCAAAGATTTCGCTGGGCGGCTGCACTGTTTAGAAGCAACCCCAACTCTTCAATGGTTAGTTAGCTATCCTCCCTCGCTTTCTCAAAAATAATATTTTCGAAAGTGACTTTTCAAAGCTTGATTTTCGAATGTCAACTTGTCGAAAGGCTATATTCTCGAAGTTCTTTTTTGGCTGCCCATTAAAACCATTACAGTCAAAGTCATTGCTTCTAAAACAATGACATCGAAACGTCATTACTTCTAAATTCATTTAGAAGTAATGATTTTAGAAGTAATGATTTTAAAAATAATGGTTTTAGGAGTAATGATATTCCCCCTCTTCCGGCTCGACAGAAAGTTGCCTTGCTATCTCTTACCCCCCTTGTGCTAATTTACCATCGTTAGCTGGAGCCTCACTCTTTCGAAAATATGCGACAATTATCTTTCCTAACAAGTGATTTTCGCAAATATGTCCTTCGAAAATCCATCGAAATCATTCCCTGCCAGTTCCTTTAACTATCCTTTCAGGACCTGCCATTCTGCACCGGAACCCTCATCTCTGATCGCCACGTTATGACCGCAGCCCACTGTCCGGCGTAAGTTTATTAATTTCGAGGACTGTGACATCATTGGGTAGTTTGGACGATCATCGCTTTTCAGGGACCTCGAATTCGAACAACCGACTAAAAGCGAAAAGACGATGCCTACCTGGAAGAATACGAATATCTGGGTGGTAGTTGGGGCCAAATGTGTTGCAAAGTCGGGAGTCTGTGAGGAGAGAAATGCGCAGAGAACGGTTGTAAAGGTAAGAGAGAGAGAGAGAGAGAGAGAGAGAGAGAGAGAGAAAGGCTGCGAATCTTTTAGGTGAAAAATATCGTAATCCCAAAAGAAGCGGTCTATGGTACAAACTGGAGAATGGGCGGAGACATCGCAATTCTCGAATTAGAAACACCAGTCAAGGAGGCAATTTTAACCCATTTTTTGAACGATTGAATTGTAGTCCGCCACGATCAGATATGCATGTCTTCCACCCTGGAAAAAGGACTTGCCCTATGATACTTTATATGGACATTGGGGTTGGGGATACTTGACTGGTACGTTTGCTAAAACGCCTCAACGCTCTGATTTTTTCATTCTCTCTTCAGATGATTTGCTTTTATGATTTTATATAATTTTAGCTGATGCCGGTATCACCACCGACACCCTGAACTACATCGAGAAAGTCGAACTTGTTGATTGTGCCACGAAAAGTCGGCAACTTTACCATTCACTATTCTAAAAATATTCAGAGCAGCGCAAATCGTTAGACAAGGACGTGTTGTGCGCCAGATCGGAGAAATATACCCAAGGGATTGAGGGGGTAATTTTTGAGGGTTTTAGAAGAGTCAATCCTTTCAAAGACGGATCTTTAATCCTATATATTTTTTTCTAGGGCGACTCGGGCTCGGGCTTTGAGCGACTAATGCCAGACGGAATGAATTGGGTGGTCGGTGTGTCGGTCTTTACGCTAGAAAAGGTTCGAATTGTCATAAGAACGGTTTCCCAACACTGCAAAAAAAACGCCGAATTTTTTTAGCTGGACGAGTCGTACATGACAGACACGCGCCGCTACGCCAAGTGGATTTGTGACCTTACGAATTTGTGCTATATGCAAAAGACTCGTTAAATAAACAATGTGTTGTTATCGTAACGGATGTCGTTGTATGTTGTCCCATGAATGAGCTGAAGCGAACACTGTTTGAAATCAATAGACTGCAAAACAGTTTCTCATCAAAACGTCAAACTCATCGTTACACCACACTGTGCAAGGTCACCGCCAATTCATTAATCTTCGCCGATATCCGGCACCGTTAGGGTCGCCATTTTCTTCCTCAAGAAATTGAGCATTTGGAAAATTCCTCGGCAAGGTCACTGAAAAATGTCACAATCAAAAAATCTTTGCTTTCTTCCAAAAAAAAACATCCCACGTTCAGGGAGGCTTTTGGGCAAGAAAGCAAAGATTTTTGCCGCGGCTGGCGCCCCACGCCGCAAAGGAAGGAAATTGCCTCCCACGGCGCGGGCAGGTAGTGCGCGCGGGCCCTACGTCCATAGGTTGTACACGTTGGGCCGAGTACGCGGCCCCTCCCTGAACGTGCGCTTTAAGAGAAAAAGGACCAAAATAACTTTTTCAATCCTGACTCGAAAACGTCAGGGTAAGCATGGTTGCAGAATATTAATGTTATTAGATCCGTATTGCATCGCAGCCAGCCAGCCTGCTGTCGCTAGCGTTGAGATAATGGTGTTTTTCGGCCATGGGCATCCAGAAATAGTTAGCCGCTTTGCGAACTAAGACAGCGCCTATCAAATTTCTCACCTGAAATGTTTCAGACATTCACGCGCAACTACTCCCCAACCCTGACGCTAAATTCACCATGTCATTTTGCCCACTCGAGCGAAAGTCAACCGTACCGATACGTGTTCCCTGCAAGCTTATCTGACCAGCAGCGCCGCTGACTCCGTTTTGTTCTGCAAGAAATTGGCGGTGTGATAGAAACAACGGGGTCTCAACCCTAGCAATCGACCGTTTTCCATATTTATTGCTACCTAATTTTTCCGTAACTTCTTAACTCACTATCGTTTGAGAATAACCAAATTTCAGAATGCCCGAGCTACAACCTTTGATTACCATAAACAACGATGGTAGCCGCGTCACCTTGGATGAAAAATTCCTAGACGATTTGGTTCAACAAGCCGTTGGAAAAGCTGTATTTTTCGATATTCGTTCAACCCTGGAGATTTCAGATCGGCGTGCTGGCCGTATGCGGGAAATTCCGTACCGGAAAGTCTTTTCTCCTTAATGTAATCATGAAGGCGCTACAAGACGGTCAAGCTGCGTATAAGCCGGAAGAACGGATCGGGTTTGATGTTGAAAAATGGTGCATAGTAATGTTTTAGCGGAATTCCGTTCAAATCCCAGGATCGGGCGCACACCAAGGGGATCAATGCTTGGTCGAAGCTTTTTCCGTGGAAAACTGGGGACGGCAAAGAGGTATTCAGGATGAAGTGAAATTCGAAATCGTTAAGATGATGGTGTTGATCATGGATGTGCAAGGAACATTTGATACAGAGAGTGAGAAAGCCGTTTCGGCGATCCTTTGTACGATTTCTTTGATGGTTTCTTCGTGCTTTGTAAGTTTTCTGAATCCTTAAGTGCAAAAGCTTTAAATCGAAACTGACCTCTCTTCAGAATTTTTAGCATTGTTTTAGATCCTGAATACTATGAAACAAATGGATGCCCTGGATTGGGAGACCCTAAATGAGTTCCAAGCCTATACGGACAGCGAGGGAGAACGAATTGGACAGGTGCAGATTTTGAAGCAGTACTCATCCAATTTTTTAGAAGTTTGCTTTACTTATTCGTGATTCCGTTCGTCATGTTGGGCTGAACCGGGATTACTTTGAGCGTAAGAAAGTAGGTTTTTACCCTTAGGGTTAAGCTTTACTCTGTTAACAGGAAGAGGCAAAGGACGCCAGGCAGCTGTCCACCCAAATCAACGGACTGCTCAAGGCCTTCGAACAAACGGTCTGCTGGCAAGTCCCTAACCCGGGAAGAACCGTCGAGTTGTCCAGTGATTGGATCAACGCTAAAAGTGCAAACACTAAAAGTACTGCCGTTTCTATACCAAATTTGTTTAGATTGCGAGCCTGATTTCCTCAAGAGTCTCTGTGAATTCGTCGATGCCCAGTTGAGCGGACTAGCGCCAAAATCGATTAAAAGAGGCAAAACCAGCGCAGAGCTGACTGGCGATACACTTGGGGAATATTTTAAAGTATGACTTTGTGCTCTAAAGAAAAAATATGAATTAGGAAGTCGTCAAGCACGCCAGAGAATTTTCCAAGGGTGGAATAAGAAGCTCCCTTGAGGTATCGATTTAACTCTAAATATCCACAACAATCCTAGGCAATGAAAGATGTCTTCTTCAACGCGGCCCATAAAACTGGGATGGAAAAGCTCAAGGAGGTTTTTGGGATATGTAAGGGCTTCAAAATTCATTACTTAGGGCCTGGCTGACTTTCCTGATGCGGTGGAACCTGGAACCTTTGAGCTAGCGATCAATGTCTATCAAAAAGCAGCCCTCGAAGCATATACAACATCAAAAGTCCTCGGCACAGCGGACGAAAAGAGCAAAGCTTTGCAGGCCTTTGGAAAAGAGTTATCGGTAAGTTTTGAAAAAGTACATGAAGCTGATATTGAGCTGCGTATGAAAAAAAGCATCTTCTTCAGGAGGCAATTGCAGCAGCACGAGAGAGAAACGCAAACGCTTTGAAGCAAGAAAGACTCAAGCAGCAAAAGTATGAAGCGGAAAGGAAGGCAGAGATTGAACGGATCGCGCGGCAGCAGAAAGAAAAAGAAGCTGCTGAAGCGCGAGAGGAAGCGAGAAAGACTAAGGCAGCTTTGGAAAAGGCTCAACGTAGAGCGGAGGAGGCTGAACGGGAACAAGAACGGATCCGGAGAGAAGCGGCTGCGGAGCGGGAGCGGGAACGGCAAAGGCGTAAGGAAGAGGTTAGTCTGCGGCTAATGACGAAGTTCAGAGCGAAAATTCATTCTGGGCTTTTCAGGAAGAGCGACGTGAGTGGGAAGAGGCGAATCGCCAAAAAGAAGAAGTATTTGCCCTCGATGGAAAATGCGACACCTCGCGCGGTCTGGATCTGGCAGGAAGCGGCTCTCTGCTTAGGTTGAGCAAGCCGGGTGCTACCCTAGATGTCGCAAAAGTTGGCGGGAACTATGGCGTGACCGAGAGCGGTGTAGGAGTGGGCGTTGAGGCGAAGGTACATTTCGATACACATATATTCTTAATGCATCAAAAATCTAATCACTGCCGTGAACACTTATTTTTCTCAGGCACTTTGGACGGAGAGAAAGGGAGAAACGGTGGACGTTGGCGTGGGATTCAATGCAGACACTGGATTCCGTGCCGGGAAGAGCGGCGTCGGCGGATCGTTCCTCGGTTTCGGAGCGGATGTCGGAGACGAAGGGGTGTCGATAAAGACACCATTTTTCAGTCTTCGGTTTAAATAAGTTCTGATAAATCTGTGCGATGGAATAGGATTATGATTACGATTCCCAAATTATACAATTGTCAGGAGCAACAGCAAGATTAGACTGCCTTAGGCGCAACGAATTTTCTGCTTGTTGTAACGCGTTGAGATGTTGTTATTTTTTCCGGGAAAATCGCCATGGGTAACTAACTATAAATAGTCAGCCGCTCGGCAAACCAAGCCAGAGCGTAGCAAAAATTTCCGAATCTCACCTTTAAGGTTTACACACGTCACTACTCCGCAAGTCCAACTCTTCTCTAAAAAGATGTTGTCTACGCAAAAACACAATTACTTCAGAGTCTGATCACTTTCGCCAACGCGCGCAAAAACGGTCGGAATCGGAAAGCACCAAAAACGCTGAAAACTCAATTCTCCAAGGAATCTTGGGACCACCCAGGGCGTTCGCGAGATTTTTATTACGCGTCGGATCTCATTTTCGTCGTCCCTGTGGGCCAATCATTTCGCAAGCGCACAAAGTCGTGACCTATTCGAGGCACAATAATTACCAGTCGGTTAGGAGCACAAGACTTGTAATTAAAGAAGCCCGGCGGGTTTTTTGAGGGTTGCCGCACCTTCCGACTTCCGCCAATAAAAATTTGGCGCTGGTTCTGAAGTATTCTTGGGTTTCGGCATTATATGTATGTATTTGATCTTCTTCTGCTTGTTCTTTTCCTTTAGTTTTTACTGTTTTTCAGTTCTGCAGCTTGTTTTGCTTGATTTTCCTGTGCAATTTGCCCTATTTAATAGCGTATAATAAATTAAGCAATCTCAATTTAAAAGTGACTAAAAACTAATTGTCACTTCCCATGTCCACGTGCCATCTTCATAATTCCGGAAATTCGGCACGTCCGTACTAGCGCTCGCCACACAGTTTCTACAATTGGCAAACTCCAAACTCCAACTCCAGGGATTCCCTTTGCTATTAAAGGGCTAGTTCAGCCAATAAAACAAAAGAATTTCCGCGGCCAGGAGTCGAACCCTCGCTGCGTTTTCGTGTCTGCGCCTCTCTCATTTCCCCGATCTCTAATAACTGTCGTAATGGGGGACTGTTCGGGCGCACTGTGCCTACGTCCATAGTTTCCCAAGGTACCAGCCCAAGCTCTAAAAGTTGAACTAGCCCTTTAATTCCTGGAATCAGGCCATCCTAGGTTTGTTAGCGCGTGAAAAAGGTGGCCCTTCATTCTTGCCTTCAATACGGTGAAATCGCGCGCATGAGCAACCCCTTTCTGTCATATGTCAAATTCTGGAGCTTTTGTTTTGCCAGACGTGCGGATGGAAAAAACAAATAGAGACCCGGACCTTTGACCATTCCTCCAGCCGGCAGCTAGCCAGAATGGACGTACAGATGCTGATCCACGGTATCTGCTACTTCGATTCGATCGCAGCTTATATAACAAACTCTTTTATGATTTATATGATCATCAACCATTCGCCAGCAAAATTAGGTACGTTAAAAACGTGTTTGAGTCTATTTCACGGCCATACCCATCTTGAAAAATCTTTAGGCTCATATAAATATCTCATGCTCTCGTTCAGCAGTTGTATGCTCATTTTCCCAACTTGTCATGGTCTTTTGATGCCGGTAAACAGACGTAGAATACCGCATCACTTGCTTTAGCACCTTTTCATCAATGGAAAATCTTTTGTATTCTTTTCCGAAGGCTTTTTGAGTAATTGGGCATGGGCCGCACATTTTGGTATCGTTTCCTGGGCATTTCTATTTGGGGTAACTTTTCTAAGTGTTAATAATTTTCTTTAGGGCATATTAACTGTTGTTATGATGCAATTTTTATATCGATATCTGGCGGTTATAAGGTGTGTCTGTTTAACCAGGGACGCTTTCCAATGCAAAGCTTCCTAGACCGCATTTGCTGGTCTATTTCTCTTCGAAAAAGTGTGTAATCCCGATAGGATACGTTTTGTTTAACAGTGTATCATGGGCTACATCAGTGCATTGCTCCGGATATCATATTCGCGCTCATCTGTAAATATTTTTTGAAATTCGTTTTTTAAATTCAAAACCGCATGGTTTCAGCGGTTATTTTCGTGAAAACATGATGAAAGACTACGGGTTGGCGCCGGACAATATTCCAATGCTTGGGTTATTCCTAGCGGTAGGCTTTAAACCAAACGCGTGTTTTATTTATCCTCTTTAGACTAATAATTCGGCGGGTGAAGAAACACTATATGGCCCCGAAGTTTTCGCCGCCGTTTTTACGATGACGCTTTATTGGATCGGGTTTATAACGATAGGATATTGTACCTATGGGTAAAGCCCCAAGCCTCAAATTTTCAACTCAAACTTCAGAATCTGGTATCATCTCGGAAGGGCTCAATTAAGCCCAAAAACAAAGCGGATGCACCGCGAATTGTACAAAGCATTGTTAATCCAGGTGGGTGTGCTGTAGGATTTTTGAACATTTTAATCTATCCGTTTCTGCTCCATTACGGACTTGAAAGAAGGTGTCCTGTCCCACAGCGTAGATTAACAAACTCGAATTTCAGGCTTCGGTGCCGATTTTGGCCGATTATATTCCCTGCGGGATCACCCACTTTCTTGCCTTCTTCGGATGCGAATTCTTTGGCCCACTTTTCAATTATTGTTAGTTTTTCGAGTCAAGCGATCTTTACCGCCTTTTAGCGATGGTGTGTGTCTCGACGTATCCGGTCATTGATCCCCTACTTGTACTGTATTTTATAAGGGACTACAGAGCTGTGATATCCAGAGCAATACGGTATCTGTAAAATTCGGCAGCGAATGATCTTTAGCGGAAAAGTAGCCGCAATGGAAACCCTCGGAACTTTGAGCAAAACCGCAGATCCTAGTAGGTTTTAACTACTTCAAGCTATACAAAGAGAACCTCAGGTTTTACCGCTGCACAAAATGGACGTGTACGACTGCCGCCGATACGGGGAAGTCTACCAATGTAGAAAAAAAAATGCCATTGAAAAGTGCCTCGCTAATCCAGAAAAAAAAAACGGAGATACCTGAATAACTTTAATGTGGCGTAGTCAATTTTCTTCTTGTTGTGTTCCATGAAGGTGCCGTCACAGGGCATACTTTAAGGTTGCTTCAACTAAAGCTGACCTTAAAACAAACCAAAAATAACCTGTCATCGCTTCTTCCGCGGCGTTACGCGTACTGATTTGAAGGCGAAGAATCGAAGCGGTGTGTCAAGAGAACAAATAAGAAAAGTTAATTGTCTGTGAATAAGATTGTAATTGGTCAAAAATAACTCAAATTTCTCAAAAATAGTTAACGAAAATGAAAATAAAAATAAACAACCAAATAAACAAAGAAAACCTATGTCCTTTCCGCCACTTGTTCAAAAATCGGCGAGGGCCGCGCCCGGCCCAGGGGCAGTGGACAGAGTGATTTGCGTTCATATTTTCGAAACTCATATTTTCGAAAACTGATATTTAAAGCCTTGGAGAGGCTTAGGTTACCTAAGAAAACCCAAGAAAATATGGGTTTCGAAAATATGAGTTTTCGAAAATATAAGTTTTCGAAAATATGAGTTTCGAAAATATGAGTTTTCGAAAATATAAGTTCCCACCGGACAGAGTACCATAAGGTCGTCGTAACGGGAACCGAATCAAGACGTGGGTCTTCATGCTATTTTTCGGTCGGCGCGAAGAAGTTGGGTTAAGACTACATTCCCGAATACCACGCTAATTTCGGAAATTGGGCAATTACTAGCATCTTCGTCGCGTTTTCCCTGTTCAACATTGGCAGTGCCTGGGTAGAAAGCCGCGTTCCCACCCAAAATTGTGTTCACATTAGTCACCGTTGTGAGCTGATATATTAGCCAGTAATTTCGCATTGTCTGAGAAGCCCCAAGCGCAGTTCTTGATAATTTTTGCTATTTTGACCTTGAACCAAATATTGCAAAACTATCAAGGGAAGAACTGCTTTTTACGCATGTTCCAGTCATTTTTACGTGACGCCTGACAAATTTTGTTTTCCGTCATCGCACCTCTCTGCACATTACTCGCTTCTGATGCGTGAGCAGCTCCTTTCATACTTTCAATTTTGTTTTTCCATCTTCTAAGTACAATATTTTTAGAAGGGCCTATCTCTGGCTATAAGTGTAAAGGCGAGGCAAAGAGACGTGAGCCTCTCGCAAAATGGACATGCAGCGGCTGATCCACGGGATCTGCTATTTTGACTCAATCGCTGCCTATTTTACCAATTCCATGCTGATTTACATGATCATCAACCATTCGCCGGAAAGGCTTGGTATGGCCAGTATCTCCATATCGTGGATAATTTCCAGTTCCAGGCGCATACAAATATCTGATGCTCTCGTTCAGCAGCTGCATGCTCATTTTCCCAACTTGCCACGGTCTACTAATGCCGGTAGATGAAAGCTAATTTTCTAAAAGATGCTTTAAGCACCTCTTCATTAACGGAAAATCATATGTGTTCTTCTCGGAAGGCTTTTTGAGTAGCTGGCCATGGGCTGCGCATGCCGGCATCGTCTGCTGGGGGTTTCTCTTTGGGGTAGTTCATTAGTACCAACGAATATAAACGATAACTTTCAGTGCGTAATTACGGTCGTTGTGATGCAATTTTTATATAGATACTTGGCCGTGATAAGGTGGTTACCATTAGACATTGGATAGCGAATTCTAGGCCGCATCTACTTATCTATTTCTCGTCATGGCGATGCGTGCTACCAATAGGATATGTTTTGTTTAGCAGCTTGTCCTGGGGGACATCCTTCCATTTTTCTGGTTATCATATCAGGGCTCATCCGTAAGTATAGCTTTTTATTGACAATGCATTAGATAACTTGCCGCCGGGCTTTTGCAAACGATATTTCCAGGGACTATTTTCGTGAAAACATGATGAAAGACTATGGGTTGGTGCCGGAAAATACAACGATGCTCGGGTTGTTTTTAGTGGTGCTGCGATCTCTTCTTTTTTTGTATTGCAAAATTAGGTGAACAATACTTCGGGGGAAGAGGTACTTTACGCACCCGAAGTTTTTGCCGCCGTCTGGACGATGGCCCTTTATTGGATCGGGTTTATAGCGATAGGCTACTGTACCTATGGGTGGGGTCTAGTGTTGGTTTTTAGTCCAAAGTCCACGGACTTTTTCGGACTGAAAAGTCCGCGGACTAAAAAGTCCACGGACTTTTTCGGACTGAAAAGTCCGCGGACTAAAAGTCCACGGACTTTTCGGACTAAAAAGTCCGCGGACTAAAAAAGTCCACGGACTTTTTCGGACTGAAAAGTCCGCGGACTAAAAAGTCCACGGACTTTTTCGGACTAAAAAGTCCGCGGACTAAAAAGTCCACGGACTTTTTCGGACTGAAAAGTCCGCGGACTAAAAAGTCCACGGACTTTTTGGATTGCAAAAGTCCGCGGACTTTTTAGTCGTGGAACCTCGGGGGTTTTGAATTAAAAAGTCTGCGCCAGCATTTCCGCTTCCCATTCGTTTATGGCTCGACGAAAAAACCCGCAAACCATTTTTAATTGGCACGCCATCTCATCTACATCGAAATATACAATTGTCCTTGTCGTTTTCTCTTACACGGTTTAAATTTGCGGCCAAGTAATCGTTATATTTTCAGGTAGAACTTGGTAAAATGGGAGGGTCGGCAGATGATCCGCGTCTAACAAGGGGAGAGAATTACAGGTCAGTGTTTATGTCATACTAATGAATGCTTTGGCAGTGCGACGACGATTCGGCAGCACATTGTTACGGTCGGAGATTCCTCAAAATGCAACTTCTGTGGGGCGATGTTCATCACCAAAGGCGGGCTGTCGGCAATCGGCCGCCATCTGAAGAAACATCTGGACGGTGATAATCCAGAGGTAATATTTTTCTGGTCGACTATCAAGCTATATACATAGGCCCCTAGCCCAAAAAGGCCCGTCAGCGACAAGGCTAGCCCGCGGCAGCTCCTGCAGAAAAGACCGGTATAATTTTAAGGATTGATTCATGGAAAAGGATGTTTAGCAGGAGATTGACGATAAATGCCTGAACCTGATACTGTCAGCTAATCTGTCGTTCAACATTGTGGAGAATCACGATTGGAAGTAGGTGTTGCGTCTAAGCTTGATCCTTGGTTTAGGGAATATACATTGGCAGTGAGTGGTGGGCGAACCAAAGGACCGACGCGGCATGCATTGTCGGGACCAATCCTCGACAGGCGGTACGGGGAACTAAAGGTTGGCGGATCTACGATGTTCCTAATTGTAATTTAGAATCTGTTGTGCGAGAGGCTGAAGGATGCGGTAAATATCGGGCTAAGTTTTGACTCCTGGTCGTCGAAGGCAAATACTGTCAGCCTACATTGGTAAAATTGAATCATTTTATTAAGCTTCCCCATTTTAGCACATACATTCACTGGTCTGACGCACAGATGACGCGACAAAATGCCCTGTTATCAATTGAAGACGTGACTAACAAGAAACAAGATGCCACATTCCTTTCCGAGGCAAGTTTACTCCGCGATTGGCGGTCTAAAATAGTATATTTAGATAGTCCTGGAGGATCTGCGAGATTTCCAAATTCCATTTGAGAAATTGGTTGGCTTCACCACCGATGGTGCCGCGAATGAAAAGTGTGCATCGCGGCGACTCGCTACGAAGGTGGGATTAAGGTAACCCCAGGCATTTCGCTATACCTTTTCTTCTAGTGACGAGACTTGGGTTCACTGCATTGCCCACCTGCTACAACTGGTCGTTCTCGCCGGGCTCGACGATCCGAAAATCGAAGATCTTTTGTCGAGAATCCGTCATAACATCAAGACGATTCGCAAATCTACGAGGCTAAAAGCATTATTTGAAGAGTAAGCTAAGGATCCAATAACTTTAATTTGATTTAGGCTGCAAAAAAGTGGGGAATCCCTGTGAGACGAGCCCTGCTAGACGTCAGAACTCGCTGGGGTGCTACCTATGAGATGTTGGCCCTTTTCTTCCGACAGGTTGAGAAAATCAAAATGGGTCGCAATGTCTCTTTTAGCGGCAAGTCTATGAAGCTATGCGAGTGCAGAAGGGCATGTTCGAGATTGCCGAAGATGAGTGGCAAATCATTGAAGATCTCCTTCAAATATTGAAGTATTTTCATTGGTTTACCAAAAAAGTGAGTTTAACTACTTCTCTATTCAATGTTGGTTTAGTTCTCCGCTGATCAGATCACGATTTTGGAATATATGTATGCCTTGAATATCTTGCAGAAGGGCTTTGAAAGGTTAGTGATTTCTTCTTATCGGTAACGTGCCGTACCATAGCAGCCATCAATACCGCACCGAGGTTGGCACCAAATTAGCCGAAAGGATGGCGGAGCAGTTGGCGACTCGGGTGGAGGTAAATTGATTGTCCGCGGATGTGAACAGCAGGTTCAGGCAGCGAAGCGCAGCAAATTGATCCTAGCCGCAGCGGCCTTGTGCCCTTACTCATGGGGCTCGGTCAGGGTCTTCTCTGAGGAAGATATGGCTGTTCAGGAGGGCGCGCTAGTTGCTCTTGGAAAAGGTAAATAATCAACTTATACTGAGTTTTTTCTTAGATTTACTCCAGAGCGTAGAGCCGTCCGAGTCTGTCGGGCCGTCGCAGTACGAGAATCCAGCGCCAAGAAAACGATCCTGGGCTAGCACCCAAGGGGACGAAGCTATCGACCCCATTGGCGCCTTGCTGACCGCCCCTACACAGCGGCTCGACCTCACGCATCTCCGCAAGCCGAAGGACGTCGAGGAAAGCATCAAGGTCGGGGCGGCTTTTCCCTGGTATCTCCATTTCAGATAGAGTTGATGCTGATAAAAGAAGCCTTCGAGTCCGAGAATTGCCCCGTGTACTTGGATTCCGGTGATTATGTGACACGCTTTTGGAAGAACCCTCGGCGATGTCCATTGCTACAAAGGTACGCGATGTTTCTATCTTTAATATTTATGTTTAGGGTCGCGGCTGCGCTTTTGTCCGTCTCCCCCGCCTCTGTTCAATGTGAGAGGGTTTTCTCTCGTGCCGGCCTGCTCTACGTGAATCAACAACGGAACCGTTTGGATCCGAAGCGGGCATCAAAGATGCTATTCATTTCTCATCACCTGGCCGCCGAGCGGGCTGCAAAACTTTGGTACGTTCCGGTGCTTGAAGCCAATGTCCTTTCTAGGGCGGCCGCAGCATCGGATCCCTATCCCGAACTTGCCCTACTTGATGCCGAGAATCGAATTCTGGTCCAGACGCTAACCGACCAGGTAGTATCCCCTTCTGGTATCCGAAACTTTTCCGTTCAGATGGTCAATGGTGAGCCGGCCTTGAAGGAGCTTGCGGAAGAGGATGAAGACTATCTGCTTTACAAAGAGGAAATTGCGCAAGAAGAATCCCTGAAATCTCACCCACCGGAAGAGTTTTTTTTCGAGGATAACGAGGTAATATCTGATCATCTTCAAAACCTCCTTTCAGATCTGACTGCCGACACTTGAAGAGCAATGCTCTCCACGCGACCCGGTCGCAACCCAGGAAAAAGCCCTAAATCTGCTCACTCAGAGCCCCTTTTTTGTTGGTTTTTGTTAGATTGAAAGTTTCCTAAGGCCGATATTGTTGTTCTTGTTGTGTAGAGTCTCATTTGTTGTTACGTTTCACTTCTGATAAAGCCTTTCTCGGCAAACAAACCGAACCAAGAACAAAACACAGACAAACTAACGGCACAATTATGGCCTATTCTGCCGCCCGCGTCTAACAATAAGAGCGATGGATGGTTACCACATGCCAATTAAAAATGGTTTGCGGGTTTTTTCGTCGAGCCATAAACGAATGGGAAGCGGAAATGCTGGCGCAGACTTTTTAATTCAAAACCCCCGAGGTTCCACGACTAAAAAGTCCGCGGACTTTTTAGTCCGAAAAAGTCCGTGGACTTTTTAGTCCGCGGACTTTTCAGTCCGAAAAAGTCCGTGGACTTTTTAGTCCGCGGACTTTTTCAGTCCGAAAAAGTCCGTGGACTTTTTAGTCCGCGGACTTTTCAGTCCGAAAAAGTCCGTGGACTTTTTAGTCCGCGGACTTTTTAGTCCGAAAAAGTCCGTGGACTTTTTAGTCCGCGGACTTTTTTAGTCCGAAAAAGTCCGTGGACTTTTTAGTCCGCGGACTTTTTAGTCCGAAAAAGTCCGTGGACTTTTTAGTCCGCGGACTTTTTAGTCCGAAAAAGTCCGTGGACTTTTTAGTCCGCGGACTTTTCAGTCCGAAAAAGTCCGTGGACTTTTAGTCCGCGGACTTTTAGTCCGAAAAAGTCCGTGGACTTTTTAGTCCGCGGACTTTTTAGTCCGAAAAAGTCCGTGGACTTTTTAGTCCGCGGACTTTTTAGTCCGAAAAAGTCCGTGGACTTTTTAGTCCGCGGACTTTTCAGTCCGAAAAAGTCCGTGGACTTTTTAGTCCGCGGACTTTTTAGTCCGAAAAAGTCCGTGGACTTTGGACTAAAAACCAACACTAGTGGGGTCTATATGCTTGTCATGTTACAGTCAGCTTTAGCATCCGCTACCAGCTACAACATGCAAAGCTAAGCGCGAATACCAAGCGCATGCATCGAGAATTGTATAAAGCTTTGTTAATTCAGGTTAGTGTGTGGTAGGCGATCTAATAGGCCGTATTCCTTAGGCTTCCGTGCCGATCTTGGCCGACTATATTCCATGCGGTATTACAAATACCTTGGCATTCTTTGGATGTGAATTCTTTGGCCCTTTATTTAACTACGGTTCGTTTTTCACGTGATTATTTAGCAAAGTGCATAAATTTTAGCTATGGTATGTGTTTCCACTTATCCCGTTATTGACCCGCTACTCGTCATGTATTTCATTAAAGACTACCGACACGTTATCACCTAATCTAAAGGTGTTATTCAGATTTTTTGGATTCGAGACTGGAAAGTGAAGTCTCATGCATCATATTTCACGGCTGGATTACCCAAATTCAAAGATTTTACCCGATTAGAACGACCGAAGATCATCTTAGAAACACCCCCGGCACGCTTCTGTTTCGTTGCTGTTACAGTACCCCCTGTGAGCTATCCATGGTCAAAAGGCACAAAATTTTGCAGAGATGTTGCCAAACCTGTAGTCTATCTTGCCACAAAATCTCAAGAAATTTTGAGCTGTGACGCTTCTAATTTTGGTGAATTTTTGCTCGAGGTGGGAAATCTCCTGCCAGTAGTCACAAAATCCGAAGAGAACGGCCTTGCTAATGGGATTTAGCGTACGGATATTCTTAAACGACACCCCTTAATCTAAAAAAGAAAAACGATGCTTGCAACAAACGCTGGAAACAGCTTTTAGGCGGTGCTGAACATTGTAAAGCTTTGGCAAGCCTGCCCCTCACAAGGGAATGTTTTCCGGCGGACATCGGACCCAGATATGTGAGTATGCTCATCTTGTAGAGCTCGCCGAGACGAGTAGATTGATGTAACTTTTAGCTGCTGATACCTTATTTTAACAAAGTTACAGCGATTAAAAGATTTTGCAATTGGGTTCATAAGCCCCTGCCACGGCCCCAACGGCATCGGTTGGTCGCTCAGTCGGTAGCGCATTGGTCTCTGAATCTGGGGGTGGTGGGTTCGGATCCCGTCAGAATTTTATCTTTTGCTTTTTGGCCCTGTACCCTCACAGCGACCTCCCATAACTGTAACATATTCGATTTTTATTTTTTTTTTTACTATTTCGCTAAAACTTTATGCGTCACAATCAACATTTTTCATGAAATTCTACTATAAGATGTTCAAAGCACAAGAAGCGGTCGCATCGCGCGCACCGGAAAATAGCATTCGACTGACAATTCCCTAGTTGGCACTTCACATCCTTCACATTCTTGAAGCACCACTCACTCGGCGTGATGAAGGGACCAGGATGTTGATCAAAGTAAAAAAGCAAAAGATAAAATTCTGACGGGATCCGTACCCACCACCCCCAGATTCAGAGACCAATGCGCTACCGACTGAGCGACCAACCGATGCCGTTGGGGCCGTGGCAGGGGCTTATGAACCCAATTGCAAAATCTTTAATCGCTGTAACTTTGTTAAAATAAGGTATCAGCAGCTAAAAGTTACATCAATCTACTCGTCTCGGCGAGCTCTACAAGATGAGCATACTCACATATCTGGGTCCGATGTCCGCCGGAAAACATTCCCTTGTCAGGCAAATCATCTGAGAATTCAGCCCTGTCTGTTGACCAAGCAATAATATTGATATGGAATAATTCTAAGGGGTTATTCTTTATCATCCGTGAGCTCGGAAGCCTGGTAGTCTGCTACGGAAAATTTTAACCGCGCTTTCTACATAGGCCAAATGATGGCCATTTTAGAAACTCGCCTGCGCATCGGTGTTCCGAGCTCGGTTATTTTGGTCGAGCGCTTATTAAAAAACTTTGGCTCGTGTAATTGGATGAAATTGTCCCAATCTATCCGGACACCAAAAAAATGTAGTCGAAACGCTCATTTTGACAAATCTTTTTCATAAAAGGTGCGTCGCCGAAAACTTTTTCCGCACCCTGTATATGCGCCGCTGCAGCACCCGGAAATTCTCGGACAGAGCCCTACAAGGCTATGGCAAAACGGTCGTTGCAGAGTGGCAAGCTTATGAGCGTGAGATCCAAATGATGACGCTGCCAACTTGGACTGGTATCATTCGGCCAGTTTTTCTTAGGGATTACCAGAGAACCTACCGAACAATTGACGACCAATGTGTCTACTACCGTATCAGAAGGGCAAATGGTGATACACTGATTGTCAGATTCCGGCTCTCAGAGAATATTGTGGAAATTGCTGCTCTCGAACATCTCGAAATCGATGCCGACGCGGATCGGCAGCTCATTGCATTTGTGTTTAATGACTGAATAAATTTTGATTAGAACTAGGTCTGGTGAAAACTGGAAACTGCGATAAAGTTGCAATAATGCCTCTCCAGACAATTGCTTTTGCGTAGCCCTCGACACTTCAAATGTGCCCTCAGGCAGATCAGGCAAATCGCCCGGCCAGAATCAAACCGCGAAAAGTTTCCGTTGATTGGAATTTGGATGCTCGATACAAACACTTGCAGAAAAATTTTGTTATTTCTTTATGTCATTGAATATCTAATCCTAGCCTACCTGATATAATTTTAGCATGTCTCTTTCAAGGCCCTTTGAGGGCCTGCCGGTGCATAAAATGCTCTAATTCTTCGTCACCTGGAGAAATCGACCCTTCTGTTTCCAATGGCGCTTTCAGAATTTTGATAAAATACAAGTTTACAAAGTTAAAGCCGGTTTTATTCATTTTCGAGGGTCCAAAAGGGCGCTGGTACTAAAAATAAAAAGCAAAAAATTATTCGTTAGCCTATCGATATGACTGAATTCCATGGTCGACCTCTTCCTGCCTATCGATATAGGCGATCTCCATGGGCGATATCGATAGGGCCTTCCCGTGCATAAAATGCCCTAATTCTTCGTCACTTGGGGAAATCGACCCTTCTGTTTCCAACAGCGCTTTCAGAATTTTGATAAAATACAAGTGTACAAAGTTAAAGTCTAAGCCCAAGCCAAGCCCCGGGGCAATCGTTGCCAAATTAGGGGAAACCTATGGGACCCCCTCCACATTAGTGGGCCAGGTGGGGGGCGAGTGGGGAATTTTTGGCGTGTCTATCTGCGTGTCTGTGTGTGCAGCTGTCACTTTCGAGGCTCGATTTGAAGGCCTTCCCGTGTATAAAATGCCCTAATGAAAATGTGAAAAAATAGAAATGTCCTCATTCTTGCGAGTTGCACGCGCGTGTGGTGGGGGGGTCCGCAGGACCCGAGCTATCGAAAAGTCAAATTTATCATGCAGAGGCCCCATTCTAGCGCCCAAGGCCCGCGAAGCGGGTTTTGGGCGCTGGTATCTAATTAATTCGTGTATCTCCTGTCTCTCCCGCTCGCTCTCTCTCTCTCGGATTTCGGAAATCCGAAGTCACCATTTATTTCAAAAGCAGCCCAAAAGAACAGAGAAAAAATACAAAGTCTAGTATATGGCCAGTATCGTTATGGAAATCATATGGGGCATCGGTTAGTTGGCTTCGGTGTACGGTAGCGGTGGGGTACGGTGGAGCTTCAGTGGATACGGTGGCGGTAGACGCGGCATTCGCGCATCGGGTTCATCGTTGAATTCAGCTAAAAACCCTATAGCTTTTTGCTTTCTGGCGATTCTATTTCTAGGTTTCTCTCTCGCTTTCTCTCTCTCGCTACTTCAGTCACTATCTCTCTCACTCCCAGTCTCTCTCATTCACGCTTTATATCTCTGTCGCACTGTCTTTCTCTCGATCTCTCTCACTCTCACCTACGCTCTATCACTCTCTTTCCCACTCTCTCTCTTTCTCACTCACTCACTCACTCTCTCACTCTCTCTCTCTCTCTCTCTCTCTCTCTCTTGTCTATACCCACCTTGCACTTGAAGGCCGTTGCGAACGGTTTGAAATTTTGTAAGAGCCCGTTAAGGCGAACATTTGGCACCGGGTGTTGACTGTAAAGCGCGATATCGATTTTAGCACCAAAAAAACTGACGCGTCAAGCCAGGCACGTTCTGCTGGGGTCTGATTCGGATAGATCGTCGGCTGGCGCCCGCAATACATCTGCAAAAACTTTGGTGAGTTTGAAGCTCAACGTCTAACCTGGCCGACCGCCAAGTAGAACAGCTGATCATTGGTGAACTCCTGAAGGCCAGGCAATTTCGGTGGGTTCCGGCCGTAGAGCTTCTGGCGTTTCTCAAGGTAGGCCTAGAAACGCCTAGAAATTTGATGTCGTCATACTGACCCGTGAAGCGATGCGGATGCCATTGTTGTCGGGGAGAGCTTCAAAGCGTTGCTTTTGACCGTTGGCCTGAAATTTATGGAAATTTAGAGATATATAGGCTTTCGCGACCTTGGCGGTGATGTTGAAGCGTGGGTTCTCGTAGATGATGTTCCCGAATTGGTCTTCGAAGCACTTGGTTTTTTCCAAGAACTCGTCGGTGTCGTTGCCAACATTGCCCGGTGGTAGATCGCCTGAAGCGGGGTATTTATGCTTAGGAGCAAACTTAGGTTTAGGTCTAGGCTGAGGCTCAGGCTTTTGCTTAGGCTATACATGGGCGGTCACCCCGGAGGGTCACCCTGAGGGTGACCGCCGCTCACCCCTGGGGTGACTGCAATGGCACCCTGGGGTGACCCTCCGGGGTGACAATCCGGTCACCGTATAGATGCAAAGTGCTGCATTCAAATAAACTTCTATGGCAAGATGCCGGTGTTTGGCCGCAAATATCATAAATTTTTCATTTTAATCGAGTATAAAACACCCTTCAAGCGGTAGTGGGAAAGTATATAACTTAAATTAAAAAAATTTAGCCTTCTGATCGCTGCCTACAGCAAATTCTTGACCGTTGGTCATTTCCATCTAAGTAATTTGCGTGGATAGGGTGATCCGGTTCCGCACCCTCACCCCCACGAAAAATGGAGGGGTGACACCCCATCGTGCCATTCAGTCACCCCCAGGGTGACCCTCTGGGGTGACCGCCCATGTATAGCTTAGGCTTAGGCTATATATGGGTCGAAGCCCCGGGGCGCCGCCAAAGGCGCCTCCCGAGGCACCCCTTGGGGGGCGTGCCGAGTGGCGCCTGGGGGCGCCGCCCCTATGATTTTTAACGGGGCGGGGGGCGTCACCAACGGCGCCTGTGAGATTATGCAAATCTTCGATTTAATGTTAATTATTCATTTCGAGCGCAAGAGCAACGGACAGTAGAAACTAACTTGCAAAGAAATTTTTGCCTTGCACTTCAGAAATGCCTAGTAACGTTTAATAATGTTTTTAGCAAAATTTAACTATATTTTAAGTGCAAAAACGATAAAAAAAAACTTGAAAAAATTAAAGTGGACTTTCCGAATTTTTTCTATTTTATTCAAAGTTTGTAGAGTTTCTACGTTCAGGAATAGTAACAACAAATGAGAAACACTTTCACTATTTGTTTTAGAAAAAAAATCCTTGGAAAAAGTTGGTTTCCCCAGAAACTCCCCTCCCTCAATGCGAAAGAATCGGGATAAAAATTCTAGGCCAATCAACTAATCTTTTTCTAGGCTATTCTTTTAGATATCAGGGATGGGCAGTCAAATCTCATTTCCATAATAACTTTGCATGTTTTGCTTTACATCTCGGTTTCCCGGCGCCTCCCGGTCCGCCCAAGGCGCCGCCACAGGCGTCACTCGACACGCCCCCAGGGGGTGCCTCGGGAGGCGCCTTTGGCGGCGCCCCGGGCTTCGACCCATATATAGCTTAGGCTATATATGGGTCGGGGCCTGGGGGCGCCGCCAAATGCCCCTCTCGAGGAGCCTTTTGGGGGCGTCTCGGGTGGGGCCTGCGGGCGCCGTGGGTGGGGCCTTTTTCCGATATGCAGCGATGTAAATTGCAAAAAGTCGTCTCTAAAGCGTTTTTTCGCAATTTGCATCACTGCATACCGGAAAAAGGCCCCACCCACGGCGCCCGCAGGCCCCACCCGAGACGCCCCCAAAAGGCTCCTCGAGAGGGGCATTTGGCGGCGCCCCCAGGCCCCGACCCATATATAGCTTAGGCAGAGTTTCGGTTTTAGGCGTTGACTTAGGCTAGGCTTAGGCTTAGGCTTATGCTTAGGCTTACATAGGCGTTGGCCCCGGCTTGGACCTAAGCCTAGACTCAAGCTTAGGCTTGGCTGAAGCTTAGAGTTAGGCTTAAGCTTATGTTCAGGCTTTGGCTTCAGGTTAGGCTTCGGCTTAGGCTTAGGCTCAGGCTTAGGTGCTTCTGCCTCTAAAGCGCCCACTTCGATCCTCGAACGAGTGCGTCATTTCGTGTACGATGATCAGACCGAGCCCGCCGTACTGGAACTCGAGCGGCCAGTTCGGGTTGTACAACGGAGCGCCGATCATGCCAAGGGAAACAACTAGAATCATTTCGTTGAGTTTTCAAAAGCCACGGCCCACCAATCAGCTTGTTGTCCCAATTCGCGGCTTTGAAGGGCATAGCCGCCTCCAGGCCGAAGATGCTTTTCAGGTCCTGATTTGCCAGAATTAGGCATATGCTAATTTGGAGGCGTACCATATGCATGACGAACCACGCAGCACTCTCTTCGAATTGCATCATCGTCAGAAGGTTCCATTCCTCGGGGATCGGGAGCTAGAAGGTTTCAGGTACTGGACTCTTAGCGGGGGGCGGGAGTTAAAGGAGCGGGGCCAGTTCTTTTTTCCGGCCCAGATCTGCTTATTAATAATATTAAATACATCTTCATAGTGTTTTTAGTAGTTTTTTGATAACTAGAAAGTCCTAAAAATACAACGCCCTTCATAACATAAAAACTATGTTTGTTAAATAGAGAAAAAGATTTGCTCGACAAAGACAAGAATTTCGGTATACTTTACAGCCCTGTAGACAAAAGTAGAGGCGAAATACAGTAGGTAGGGCTGGCCATAGCCGAATTCTCACCGTCTCGTAGAATCCCTCGATTGTATTCCGATCCAGCGCATGCTCATTGTACCCATAAAACTCCTTGAGGTCGTCGAGCTGCAAGAAAATTCCAAGATTGTTGCGATAAGCCTTGAAATACGCGTTTCTTTAGCTGGGCCTTCGTCTCCGCATCCAGCCACGTGTTCTCGTCGAACACTCGCTGGAAACCCTCGCGCATCTCCTGGCCCAGAACCTGAATTTCGGGCGGTTTTTGAGATTTATTTTTTTGCAGCAGACCTTCACGTCTTCAACATCACTTCTGAATCTGATCGTGTCGATGGCGAGGTGTTCAGTGAGTTTTGTGAAGTAGAAGAGGAGCTGGGTAGGGATAGAAAGATGGTTATTGGGAATTTCCCCCTCCAGCCCCCCGCTAATGAATAACCGCAACCAACGTACTCGTTTTTCGCATCCGATCTTAGCACGAGTGTCGAATCGCTCCTTTAGATGGCGGGCCCAGTTCAAAAAGAAGAAGTTCTGGACGTCGCTACGTGGAAAGTCAACCAAGACTTTGGACAGCTTAAAAAAATGGGCGTAGACACATCTTCGAAACGATTGCGTACGGCTGCCAAATCGTACTCCTGCGTGAACGTAATCTGCGTCTGGCGGATAATCTGCAGCTCGTAGTTTGGCAGATGCCAACTGATAAAGTACAGCCAGTCGTACTGTAAAAGATGTGCAATTTTTTGTACGGGGTGTCCCACAAAAAAGCCGACTCCCCTCTTGCGGGCCGCAGAAGCCTCCGATTTTGACGCTTTAGATGTGAACATTTGTAAAACCGCAGCGCTTGTTTTCTCGCCTTTCCGAGAGCTTTCAAATGGTGTAAAAATCATCCAGATTCGACCTTTCTCCGGACCGCTAGGGGGGGTCGATTTTTTTTTTGGGACGCCCTGTATAAAAAAGTTATAGCAAAAACAAAGATAACCTTTTAAAATTGGATTGAGCTGCTGTTTTTCGACTCTAACGCTATATTTTCGGGACACCCGGTATATTTGCTACCATCGGCGCCATCTCCTGTAATTGGCCGATCGTATAGGTAGCTTCGTTGTTCTGGAGCTTCTTGGTGAACACCTGGAAAATCCTTAAAACTTTGTAATAAATTTTCACGAACCTCATGCAGCTTCATGTAGAGAGCCACAAGACCGGGAATATTATCCTCACGGGTGTACTCGCTGATGGTGAACCCGAGAGGTTCCAGGGAAGCTACGGCCTAAGCGCGTAAAATAGAGCCGTGTGGTTGACTCGAGGTTGACTGACCTTTTCCACCTCGGCCTTGATGTCCGCCTTGTTGTCCAGACCGCCGAAAAAAATGGGCGCCGGCTCGTTGAACGCAAGCTAGGTGTTTCGCGATACCGTGGGAAAGGGGGGAAGAATACCTTAATCTTTGGCCCAATGGTGGCCTCGACGCGTAGGAAGGTATTTGGTGGGCGTGTGTCAGGGGGAGGGAGCAAAACGAAGGCATTTAGGGTCGTCATGAGGACAGTTCTGGTGATTGTCGGCATACTCTAAAGCCGTGTGTTGCTGTACAGCGAAGAGAGAGAGAGAGAGAGAGGAGAGAGAGAGAGAGCGAGACGGAGGGAGAGAGAGTGAGAGAGAAAGAGAGAGAGAGAGATCAATCCAAAAAAAACGCTACCAATCCCTCCATCAGCTTCTGCCGGATCAGCGGTACCTCGCCCAACCAGAAGACGTACTTCTTCAGGTCGGAGTTGAAATTCTCGGCACGCAGCGCTTTGCAGTTCCCATAAAACGCATTTGCCTTCTCGACGGCCACCATTCCCGACTTGTCGTTGATGATCAGGTCTCAAGATTGATTTTTAAAGGCAGGGTGACATCTCCTCATACTCATAAGCTGCTGGTTCAACGCGTCGAAGAGGCTGTTCAGCAAGAAGCCGGCGCGTTTCTGAATTTTCGTCAAGCTTTTCGAGGATGTTGTACCTGATTCCAACCCCCACAGGCGTACTCGTGGAAATCCTCGCACGGGTCGAGGGCCGGGTTCATGTTTTCGATCTGGAGGCTATGGCGTTATCGGGGGGAGCAAATTTTTCTTTCCTGCCCAATTCAGAGGAATTCTTCTTTACGGTTCCTCAAAGCAAAAAAATTTCACATTTTGATTAAAAGGAACAAAAATGACGTTTGGATCAAAATTTTGAATTCCATAAAAAATTCTTTAGGTTTTTAGATAGGTTTTCCGGTATATGTCGGCTACGCGGGGGGGAATTTTACGCGGGGGGGGACGGACGGTTGGGGCCGAGCTGACTATTTTTTTGCGTTTCTTTTTGCAACAAACAAAACTCTTAGTATATTTTTTGGCGCTCTGTCGAATGGCACAAAAGAAATTTTGTAAAAATGTCGAAAATGTCGAAAACTTGATTTCTTTCTATGTCCTCCATGGAAACAGCGTTTAATACTTGTTTTTGTTATAACTATTTTATATTACATTATTTTGAGCTAAAATTAAAACTCTTAGTATATTTTTGGATGCTCTATCGAATGGCATCTTTAAAATGTCGAAAAAATAGCGCGAATATCGAAAAACAGCCGCTCAAACCGATTTTCAAAGCTTATTTTTGTATTTACCATAACTTTTTTATATTACACTAATTTTAGCTAAAACAAAAACTCTTAGTATATTTTTCGATGCTCTATCGAATGCCGTTGCCAAAATTCCGAGAAAATAACGAAAACATCCAAAAAGGCCTGCCTGTCCCGTCCCCCCCGCGTAAAATTCCCCCCCCCCGCGTAGCCGACATATACCGGTTTTCCACTAGAAATATCGTTAAACTTGATGATGAAGGCCTATTAAAATATTTCCTATTAGAGTTGATGTTTTACTATTCCTAAAAGCTCACCTTTAAACGTGTTGATTAAAAAATATAAAATATAGCCTTATTCTATCAAAAATCCCAAGTTTGTACATTTTTAGATGGGTTTTCCACTTGAAATACAGTGGAATTTAATCTAAGATCACTAGTAAATTCCTTGCTACTAAGCATTTCTGCACTTAGAACCCCCACCCCCAATAATGCAAAAGCCTCAAACCCACGATCAAGCTGGCGGCTTCTGTACATCCCTTGGTCGTGCACAAATTTTCGGCCGTGGTGGACTCCTGAAAGTGATGAAAAGAAACAAAGTGAAATTGGCTGATCTCTACCGGAATTCCATGTCCCGAAGAATTTTGAGCGCAGAGCGGCGCTCCATGCTCCTCGAATTCCGGTGCCGATTGTTGGCCCAATTTGAAAGAGACGAAGGCTAGATATGGTGCAAGTTGAGGTACCGTCAACTATACCGGTCAGCAAAAGAAGCACAATCCCTCCAATACCAAGGATGATCGGCCACGGGCAGGCCTTCTTCTTTGGTTTTTCATCGATTGTGCCTTAACTTTCACCAGAAATTTTCTGTAATCCCTACTTTTATCGTGGTCGCGCTCCGGGGCGGCCTCGGTTTCAGAGCGGAAGTCGGACTCCATCGGAATGGCACAGCGAGGGGAATGAGGTCATTTTCTAAGATGCTATCATTGCCGTAAGTTAATCTTTTGGGATGCAAATTTTTGATTCCGTCGCTCTCTATTTCTCTCTTGCTCGTTCGCTCTCTGTCTCTCTCTGTTTCCCTGCCTCTCTCTCTCGCTCTCTCTCTCTCTCTCTCTCTCTCGCTTTTTGATCTGGGTACCAGCACAGCTGCGATGTCGATGGAAAGAATTGAGATTGGCACAAATCCTTAAGAACGCAAGTTAGAGAGCTCAGCATTAATTTTTTTTAGTTGATTCAAAGCCAACACCAATCCGCCGAAATGTTACAAATCTGCCCGAATTTGGGGGAAGCTTTGCTTCGATTACGAAAGGAAGAAATTGTCGTCATGGAGGAGAACTTTCCAAATGATTCATTTGCAGTTTTTGGCTTCTTGAAATATAGCATAAAATTCACCAGAGCCAAATTACGTGGCGGAAGCCGCGGAGAAGCTTTGTAAGCGTAATGGGAATAAGATGCCGTTTCCGGAAAGGAATTGTATGTGGGTTTTGCTGAAAATCGGAATTTGTATATTATTTTTTATTATTTTTCATATCTTGATTGCTAATCATTTAATCTCCGCTGTAAACCGTAGTAACCACGCTGAATTTAGATACTTCCCGCTTGCCACCAAGACATGTAACTGCTCGCAAAAATACATGGACGATTGGTTTAGCCTATGCAACGTTCTTGCTATTGAAATTAATTTTTTGTGAGAACTACGACTTCCACCAGTTTGTGCCAATGCAAGCAGCACTCCCCGAAGGCTGCTAATAAGGGAGCAGAGTGGTTGAGAAGCGACGAAACTGTAAAAAGCTGCAAAGCCGAAATACAAAATAGAAAACTAAGAAAATAGGAAAAAAATGAGAAAAATTGTCCCAAACACACATTTTCCCCCATTTTTGGGGTTTCTCGCAACGAAGGCAAACCGTCCATAATCGGTTCTTGAAACAGGTTGTCGCCCGGTTTATTAGAGTTTGCACCGCGAATGATGAAGGTTTCTTTCCGGCTGGCTGCGGCAGCACTAATTAGGTCGAGCAGCCGACGGCAATCGTTGCTCCGGGGAACTTGATGAAAACATTCTCCTGCCATACATTGTCATTGTTGCAGGTTAGCACATAGTTTGCCGTCATCGTCGGCGAGCCCATCGAATCCGCATAGTATCCCCCGTTAACCTGCAAGCAGATGGCTGGGAAAAAGTGGGGCTTGTGCGCAGGAATGTAGGAGGAGGGGGGCCCAGGGCCCATGGCACCTCTTTTGGTCTAGAGCTTTACTTCTAAAATCATTCCTTCTAAAATCATTACTTCTAAAAGCCATTACTTCTAAAACTCAATACTTCTAAAAACGTATCGAATGGCACTCGCGAAATCCCACAGTAATTGCAAATTTCATAATAATGAGTGCACCCCGTTATTTTATCCCCCGCCCCCCCGTTATCCTATATGTACCCTGATTTTTCGAAATTACAGAATTTCGGCATTCGGATTGCGCCTAATTATGAAATTTCGACCTTCTTGAATTTTGATACATGTAATTGTGATAGTTCGGGCTTATTTTACCCGAATTCAGCTTACCGCGACGTACGCTAAGCCGGGACCAGTACCGGTGCAAGCCAACGTCAATACCGAGCACCCGCTAGCGTCGGTGGTGATGCTGTCTAAAGCGCATCAATTTTTATTTAAACACGGCTGATACCATATTATGTATTATTATAGTTTTATAGCCTTTAATCGCTAAAAACTCATCAAAACATTTTTCAAATTCAGAAGTTTGAAACTTAACTTTTTTTTTCATGTTTTTCATCTCTAAAAACGGTTAGACTAGTCATAGGGTCGCACGGCAACAGGCAAAACAGAAAATTTCCATCGCAAAGAGGCGCCACCCCCCGTTAACAGTCCAGTACCAAATGTTGCATGAAACACTACTTACTGGTAGCAAATGGCGTCGGGTTAATGATGCTGTTGTCGATCGTCGGGGTAGGGCATCCCCCGCATGCTAAAATTAAAATATAGAGCGTGTCCCAAAAAAGGGTAATTGTCGCCTTGCCAAAAAGTTTTAATCCGAAAACCATTGCACCGCAAAATCATTTCATCGAAAACCACCACCGAAAACAATGAAAAACCCTAGGAAAAACGGCTGACAAGCTTATTGTTGTTGCATCTCGAAAAACTACTGCCGCTATGGGACCATCATTCAGAATCTCTGTCATTAGGGTGTTCTATTAGATCTCAGGTAGTGTTGGTTTTTTACCGGTACCGAAACCCAGTACCGGTACCGAACATCGGTACCGGGGACCGGTACCGGTAATTTGTTGGTAGTTTTTGTTGGGAGGTATTTGTTGGTTGGTACCGACAGGTTCTATACTTTTCCGGTACCGGCAGGCCTTGACAACGGGCCGGGCCGGGCCCAAATTTGGCGGGCCCGGGCCGGGCCCGGGCCTGGAATTTGAGGTCCGGGGCCGGGCCGGGCCGGGCCCGCTAGGCCCGGATCAGTCCTGGACGATGATTTTCGGAGAAAATTTTTCGAATTTTGAACCAAAAAAACGATTTTTTTCGACTTCGTTCACCTTTTTTCAATTTTTTTTTCGTTAATTTGTGTTTTCGTTCGAAAAAATCAATAAGTGACCGTATCCGGGTAATTGCCAGTCCTGGTTTTTAGTTTTTTTAGAACCTCTAGGAGGTTTATAAGCCGGAATTATTTTGCTTTTGGCCTGAATGGACTAGCAGGACCTGTTAGGATGGTTTACAATTCAGGATCAGCTTTATAGATCTTAGCCGAAAAACGGCCAACCCGAAAAAAAAACGAACAAAAATTGTCGGTAGTTGACCTTACTATTGGCCGGCAACAAAAGATTTGTAAATAGTTTTCAGAAAGTTTGTAAAGTTTTTCTATGCAGAATTAGTTAAAAACTGTTACGAAAGTATTGCTTCGATTTATATCGAAAAACCCCCTCATAGACCAAAAAAATTTGATCGGTCCGCCCTGGCCTTATTTAGTACCGGGCCGACCAGGCCCGGCCCGGCCCGGCCCGCCCCGCATTATTTATTTATGCTTTAATTGTAATTAAAACCGTATTGTTGATTATGATGTCTGTGCGGACAACTTTACATATTCAAGACGCTAAACCTTTCCAAAGATAAAAGCCGTCGTAAGAAATTAATCCCCCCCCCCCGGGCCGTCCGCAAACATTTGTGACTTTTGTTCTCGGTGAGCTGAGGTGATACATTTATCCGACTTCCAAAATTCCCAAATTTTCTAACAAGGAATGCTTTTTTTGAGTCATCTGCAAAACCTTACGAAACCTAGCTCATTCGATAGAGAATTCGATTCTGACCAAAACCCCGTTGTTCTTTTTTGCAGAATGGCTATCACTGATTTTATAAAATTTTAAAACTGCGCCCAAAAGCCTCTCTTTTGGCTCGAAAGGCACCCATGGTAAGAGACGGTCACCAATGTTTTAATTTTATAAAATCAGGGATAGCCATTCTGCAAAAAAGAACAACGGGGTTTTGTTCAGAATCGAATTCTCTATCGAATGAGCTAGGTCTCGTAAGGTTTTGCAGATGACTCAGAAAAAGCACTCCTTGTAAGTTTTCTGCGACAAGGGATGAATTTCAGATGCTTTTTTCTGTAAGGGTTTTTACAAGAATAAGATTTTGCTATTTTTACACCATTTTCTGCCGGCCTGGGTGGTGCCTAGACAGAATACAATGAGTGTCGAAAAGGAATAGCAATCCGCACTATTAGGACTAAATATCCCAATAATGCCCACGCGAAGGATTTGCCACCTATTCCTCCTACGACCCTTCACACTTCCCTATACACGGGTAGTCGGGTCAGTGGAGGTCTGTAAGACTAATGTATGCCAAGAAGATGACACCTGCAGACCATGAATAAGATCCAATGCGATTACCACTAATAGAGGACGTAGAGATAAGAATGGTTTATTAGTATAATACATAGAAAGAACACCGTGAGGAAATACACAAGGCCAGGGAACCTGGAGGTAATACAAGGGAGGGCGGAAAGAGCTCTGGTTGTAAGACAGATGGTGGATCTACGGGGATGGGAATCACCTTCCGGTTAACAGGTCGCTATGGGCAGATGAACCGCCACACAGCTCCTATTCTATCCCCGACCGGCCATAGATATGACCGGCGGCAACGACTCCCTTGGGAAAGGGAAGAAGTGGCCCGAAATGCGGAGAGCCTAGGCCGAGCGATTTACCTACCGTAGTAGGGTCGCTGCGGGACCCCCGGGGAAAGGCCGCCCGCCCCCACAGACCAAATAAACCTCGTAAGTCATGTACTTTGTACATAACTTTCGACACTCCCGGCCCACAAGAAGCCGAGAGGTCGCGCCTTGTAGAGGCCCGTCAGCCGCGAGGCTTCAGGGGCTACTAGGGTCCGGACCAGGGAAGGACTGGGTTGTGCTTACATTGATCACACCAGGGTGGTGGTCACAACTTGGGCGATACGGGTACCTGGTCCAGTCTAGTGTATGTTGGAAGGCGTGAGGTAACTTGGAATGGAGGAGAGAGTGGTGGGACCTGGGCCCCGACAAAAAAGGTGGTGAGACCTATACCCGAGATAAAGATAGGTGGAGATTAGAGCTCTACCGCACAAAGTAAAGTGGAGGGGTAGGGCTGGGCTGGGTATAGACATCACGGCACTTTCTGGGGCGGGAGGGGCCGAAAAGTAAGGTTAGGTCCTAGGGGGTGGGGCTCAGAGGGACAAAATGAGGGAGGGGGAAGCTAACCGACGCTAAGGAGCCCGAACTCCTGTCGGAAAGCTGGGGACAACACGTACTTGGTTACTGCTTGCAGGATGAAGATGTGGGCACGGCGTGGCTCTTGATCGACTTGTCGTCCTTGACTTGAAGTGCTTGATGTCGAGCTTGACCGGCTTGAGGAAGTGCTTGACCAAGAGGGGCGGGCTTGATGACGAGCTTGACCAACTTGTGCAGAGCTTGAGTACTTGAAGGCAGCAGCAACCAACGGCAGTGAAGAGACCGTTTCTGAGTGTAAACAAAATTGAAGAACTGGGTGTGGACGGGGAAAAGACCATTGCAGTAGCTGTATGTAAACGTTGGCGGGGAGGGGAGGGCGAGAGAAAACTCCCACCACTCACTCGCTCCTGCTCCAGGCGTCTGTGGATTTGACATCTGACTCACGTGGTCAGGAATGCCAAATTTCGCCGCTCTATGAGCCGCTTGATGAACTGGGGCCTGGTGGTTGGCCAACGCAAACGCAAAGCTGTAGGTAAGACTTGAAACAACAAGCTCTGTGTCCAATTTCGAACGCTATAAAACGTTGCAGGCGGGAATAGCCTAGGATTCCAGAGTTATTTCCGGGTCCTTTGGACTATATTAAGGCCTGGTGTGCTGTAGGTTCGGTGTTGGACGGCAGAACTGTGGATGTATCAAGCCTCGCCGCTGCAGGTCTGAGGTGCCCGGAATACGAGAAACGACATACTGTCAAACCGTGCGTCACGCAATATTTCAGCGATCCGTTTGGCGAGACAGATGTCGGTGTTGACGTGTAGAACTGGCAGGGGAAAATGAAGATCTGGATGTAAACAAAAAAAATTTTGAAGGCAATCTGTGTGTGATACAAAAGAAAATTTTGACAAAGAACCATGACGCAATACGCGATGGCTTGGTTCACATTCACGCCACTCTCGGAGAAACTGGTTATCTATCCCCCTTCGCCCGCTCACCCTCAAGCTGAAGCACCGCGTGGGGTTGAGACTAACTCTAACCCGTACCGCAATCAAGCACATTGACCATAAGCTGATGGCCAGTCGTGCACCCAGGGATTTAAGTGCCAGTACCTCTTGGGTTCGCGGGGTGCTTGGCGCTGAAGAGTGCATCTGCGCTAGATGCTGGGCGTTGAAACTGTTTCTGGGAGGTCCAGCGTCCGCCTTGGGCGTCTCGACGACTGGAAAATTGCCATTGTACGATGGCAATAAAGCAGCTGGTGGTCTGTGAAACCGAGGTTTCAATGTTCACGGTGTTCTCTGTAGGTCTGTTTGTGATGCTCTAAAAAATTAGAGAAGAGGACAATAATAAAACCATAATTATAGGAAAAAGTGGAGAAAAGAAAGTAAAAGCACTGGATCTTGACCTGGGTTCTATCTCAACGGCTCAACGCACCATGTCGAAAAGGAATAGCAATCCGCACTATTAGGACTAAATATCCCAATAATGCCCACGCGAAGGATTTGCCACCTATTCCTCCTACGACCCTTCACACTTCCCTATACACGGGTAGTCGGGTCAGTGGAGGTCTGTAAGACTAATGTATGCCAAGAAGATGACACCTGCAGACCATGAATAAGATCCAATGCGATTACCACTAATAGAGGACGTAGAGATAAGAATGGTTTATTAGTATAATACATAGAAAGAACACCGTGAGGAAATACACAAGGCCAGGGAACCTGGAGGTAATACAAGGGAGGGCGGAAAGAGCTCTGGTTGTAAGACAGATGGTGGATCTACGGGGATGGGAATCACCTTCCGGTTAACAGGTCGCTATGGGCAGATGAACCGCCACACAGCTCCTATTCTATCCCCGACCGGCCATAGATATGACCGGCGGCAACGACTCCCTTGGGAAAGGGAAGAAGTGGCCCGAAATGCGGGGAGAGCCTAGGCCGAGCGATTTACCTACCGTAGTAGGGTCGCTGCGGGACCCCCGGGGAAAGGCCGCCCGCCCCCACAGACCAAATAAACCTCGTAAGTCATGTACTTTGTACATAACTTTCGACAATGAGTTTTTCAATAAAAACGTGTAATTCTTGAAAGAAAAAAATGTTGCAGCGAGCCAAAATCCCGGAGTTTCAAAACTCAAAGTGAACACATAAGCTCGTGGAGAGCTTTCGATAGATCGTAAAGTCGGAATCGTAAAAAATCGTAAAAATCCGACAACTCTGCCGACCGCTAAAGGCGGGGTGATTCCCTTCTTCCTCTACATCGGACCCAATTTTTAAAAAAATTCCAGGCCGTCCCATTGCCCTCACTTACGTTTCGTTGAAGACATCCTGAGACAAGCCTCGTTGACGGTGCTAAGGCAGAAAATGGAGCAGAAAACGCATAGAAAGCGCATACTGTAGCGAAGAACTTCTTGTCCAGGAAAAATGGTTTTTTTTTCGCCTCCCATGGTTATATATCGGAATTTTTGCGCCGGCTTGGATGGCTGCCGAATCTTCATGCGATGTTCACACGCAGCACACAATACAAAGCACGACCAGGACCGGAATTCCATTCAGCGCGTAGTGCGTGGATTGGCTCACTCTCCTCATCCGCCGGTGGGCTGCGATTTTGAAATAGTGTTGCAATTCCGTATATACGTTTAATGTAACCGTAAAGTAAACAAATAGCAGCGCGTCCGGGTGGGCGTCCACCGTGTACGCGTCGAAGAGTTTCTGGAAAGAAAATACTAAATTTAGTGGGGAAACTCACTGTGTCATGTTATGATGTTGTCTGTGACACGACGATGACCTCAAACCGCGGGTTCCTTCTGAAATTGAATAGGCAAACAATTAAAGGGGCCCCGAAATCTGTTCCACGGCCCGCTGTGTTCATTCCTGGCGAATAGCCAATTGCGACCGCAACGCGACCTTTTGCCCCTTATTCGACCTGAAAATGCTTGAATTTGAAAATTCTGAAGCTATTTCCGTAGTCCTCACCGAGTTTTGGTGATTCTAGAGTTTTTAATTATGGAAATTGATCAGAGATAGCCAGGGATCGAGAGATTGGGTGACTTACGAGGCATTACGATATGTAATCGACGCGCACTCAAAATGTCGTTTTCGCCCCAAGAACTTTTCGGTTTTACCCAAATATTTTACGTTTTTTTTGCAATGAAATCATCCTTCTGGTACTCCTCCGCAGTGACCCTTTGATTTTTGACCAGTAGTTTCAATCCCCGCACGCACGAATTTTGACTTCCGAGCCCCTTTAAATAAAAGCATGAATATTAATTAATTTACTGAAATAGCCGCACATAGCGGCATTTCCTGGTTCCACCTGCCGCACCGCCGCCTCATTGTTCGTTTTTTTTAGGTTGACGGGTTTGAGGATGAAGGGAGCAAGGGAATGGGTTGGTATATCCTCAAATTTTATCGCATTTCTCTTTCTGCAAAAATGAAATCCAGCTATCGGCCAACCCTTTTGTTAATTTATTTGATTTCTATATTGATACCCACGAGTTTTGGGTGCGATTTAACAGAAATTGTAGGTTTAACTTACCCTAAACCTTTCCTTTTAAAGGAACTTTGTTAGCGTTTAGTTCTAGGGCGAATGCCTATTTGATGCTAAGAAATCTAACGTATATAATGGAAATTGGACCGATTCGTCGTGCCGGTAAGAAAATTTGATTTTTTTTTGTTTCAAATCGATTTCAAAACGCAAAATCATCGCTTTCTGTAGATTTCTACAAAGGACGACTAGCTCGTGCTCACCATGCGCTGAAAAATTTGTGAACTTTATTTCCGACACGCTTTGCGATGGGGAGGGAGTCAGCAATACTTGTACGTTAAAAGTAGCTCAGCGGAAAAATAAAAAGGACATTTCTAGACAAATTGGGACGGCACTGCGAGACTTACCTAGATGTGGATTTGCTTGGAATTCGAGAGAAATGCGTGGGAAAGCATCCAATCGAGTTGGAAGACTCGGAAATTGGGAATGTTTGCAGGTTAATTTTAATAAAGTACCAAATCGCCATTAATTATACTTATTTCTAGGACAACTTATACTTTTAAAAAGTATGCAATCGTGAAAAAAGCCATTTTACAGTATCCTGGTGGATCGAATTCGCTGTGAAATTGCCGGTTTCGAATCCAGCTGTGATGTTTTGGCTGGCAAGAACTTTAGATTGGCCCAAATCCTTAAAAACGCAAGTGAAAAAGCTCGGCATTAAAAATGCATACCTTTAGTTCATTCAAAGCCAACACCAATTTGCCGAAATGTTACAAATCTGCCCCAATTTGGCGGAAGATTTGCTTCAATTACGAAAAGAAGAAACTGTCGTCAAGGAGGAGAACTGTCGAAAGGACTCATTTGTAGTTTTTGACTTGTTGAAAAATAACATAAAATTTACCAGAGCCAAATTTGCTTGGCGGAAGCCGCGGAGAAGCTTTATAAACGTAATGGGAAAAAGATGACGTTTCCGGAGCGGAATTGCATGCAGGTTTTACTGAAAACATCAGATTCTTTCTTTTTGTTTATATTTCCAAAATAGGCCTTTTCATCACTTTCATTTTAGCCATAAACTATATTAATAAAGTGTAATTTTAGATATTTCCCCTTGGCCACCAAGAAGTGTCATTGCTCGCAAAAATACATGGACGATTGGTTTACCGTACACTGCACCCCAGATTTTCGACCGTTGACAAATCGTATCCCGATTTTTAAACATTTTTAATCGGACCTCGACTTGCAGATAAACTCATTTACAAGTGCCTAAAATTCAACGCGATCGAGATCTGCTTCAATAGATGCCTGAAGCAGCTGAAGCGGAAGATTATGCCGGAGAATTTGTGCGAGTAAGAGTGGAATCGAGTTTTCATAATTTAATAATTTTACAATTTAATTAATCGGGTAATTTAATAATGCATGCTTAATTTTTAAGTATACTTTTCCATTTTCAGTCAGGGCATGAAAATTTCGAAATGTCTATCGCGGGAGATGAGCCGTTTTTGCGAGGAGAAAGTGCCAGAAATTCCAAACAAACCCAAATTGTTGGAAGACTATTACAACGCGAAATTCCGGCTGAAGGTACTTTTAAAATGTATAATAACGATTTCTAGATAAAATACGACCCAAAAACGATTTGTAGCAACGACCTGTTGAAGGTTTTCATGGCAGATCTGGAGAAAAATGCCTAACGCAATAAATGTAGATCAAGACCATAGACTGTGAATGTTTCATAATTAACTTTATTAACAACTTAACAAATCGATAACAAGCACAACAACCCTCAAGAAATATTAAAAAAAAACCAACAACACCGGAACCGCAAAAACTGCTAAAAACCAGGTAAAACACGTAAAAAATGAAAACAACACCTGAACCGTAAGAATTTCTATTAAATCACATCGTTTTTCAAACAGATAATTTCGACGAGTCGGCTATTTTGAGAGCGTTTTTGGTGGCGGCGAAGTCGGAAAATAGCTGCGTTTCCGCGTAAGCGTTCACCGTACACGCGTCGAACAATTGCTGGAAAAAATACTAAATATAACGGACGTAGCTAACCGAAAATTTAAAAAAGTTTAAAATTACCGCTTTTTCATCCGCTTCAACGTCCGCAGCTTTTTGAATAGGGACAAGTTGCCTTCGTAAATTTGGATAGCTGAAAAGGGTCGAAAATTCGAATTTTTCAATTCACGTACTCTTCCGCAAAAAGGCGCCAAGTGATCGCAGGGTTCAGCGCTGCGTTAGAGTCGACGAAATGGCCAAGGGACACACTGGCCTAAAAATGGAAATTTTTAAGCTCTACAAAAAGCCTACCTCTTCCCGAACCGCCGCATCTGAAGACTGGAGCAACAGGGCGAAGACGGGCGCGAAAATATCGGCTGAAGGCAAGAATCATTGATTTTCCAAGAAACCGTAGAACTGACCCTGGGCCGTCCTGGGTTCCAGTTTTTTACACAATCGAAGGGCAGCCGGGAGGACTTCCGGTGTGTCGTCAGCTAATCGATTTCTGATCCAATCCGCATCTGCAGGCGTCCATTCGTCCTTCAAAAGCATGGCCAGCTCGCGGAGTAGCATTTCGGTGTCCGGACTGCAAAGCAACTTTCGGAAAAGAATTAGAACTTGGAAAAGCCGCGCCGGAAAAGTTACCTACAAACTATTTGTTCACTTAATACGCGATTAAAGCAAAATAAACAACTAAATCGACTGTAAAACCGCTTAAGACATAAAACCTTGAAGCCAGAATTTGTTAGAAGAATTCAGAAGAGCAGCGGCTAAGGCCAATTTCCATAAAAAAAGTTTAAAAAACAAATTAAACTGCTTGGAAAAATTTTATTAACTTAATACGCTGCAAAAATAAGAGTTACTTACAAAAAATTTAATTAACCTAATACCAGGCTAAAACGACCATTTCATTTCACTTTTGGTTTTTCTTACCTAAATTCATGCTCAGTCGTATCATTTAGCGCCTGCCGTATCGCCGTCGTAATCTTTTCAACCGCTGGTTGCTTCACCTTGTCGTAGTGGCGTAGAATTAGGCTGGTCAGCTATAACGGACATTTTAGTATCCTGTTTTGTAAAATATGTCGTGAAACAACAAAAAAACAGCAAACCTATTGCCCCTTACTTTTCGCAAATTTGGCTGTGTGGGGTAGTAGGCCGCGTCGTGGCTCTCCGTTTTCCCAACCAGCGAGTCCAGCACCATCGAGAAATCGTTGATTATGGCCACCTCAGAGTACCTAAAAAAGTCCGATTATCGGAAAAATTATCAACAACCTACCCACTGCACAAAAACAACGTCCAGTCGGCAGAAGTGACACAGTTGCTCTTCTAAAAACAATTTCTAAAAAAGTTTCGGCCCTTACTTACCAAAATTTCGCGATACACCTCACGCCGGAATGCGGGGTGCTCTTTGAGAATTTTGGGCGGAAATTGTTGGGCGACGGCGAAGCGGGCCAGTGGTCTAAGATCATTTTTAAAAACAAAAAAAAGCAGTTGAATACCTTAACGCAAGTGTCAGCTTATCAAGTAGCTCCTTGTTCTCGATAAATTTGCGCATGGGATCGTGCATGCCCGTCATAAGGCACAGTTGGAAGAATTGGTTCAGCACGTAGTCGTTGCTAAAAAATATTTATTTGGAAAATACGTTGGAAAATTTGGTGAAGAAAACTTTAAGAATTTTTAAAATTTTTAAGAACATAAAAAATTTGTGGAAAATAGCTTACTAATCCAAATACGCGCCGTTTTCGACAGCCTTCGCCAAAATTCCCCGATTTTGAGCCTTGAAAAGAAAGTACATCCGCGGGTCCTGATAATCGTGAGGGCGACGCTCCGCGATTGTCAGTAGCTAAAAAAATTTAGGCTGTTGAAGAAACAAACCAAATTAAACAGTGAGTCCAGGACGTTATGTGGAAGCCGGGCAATGTCGAGGCCGCTAAAGATTTCCAGGCAGTAGAGGAGGTCCTAAAAGTAGTCAAAATAGCAAATATTTGGTGAGTGTTAGTAGCAGAAATATAAACCTGCTAAAATTAGGTACCTCTCGCGTTGAAATTGCCACCAAGGCAGCAACGGCCAATTTCCGTAGCTTCTCGGAACGCAGCGTGAGCAAGAGCTAAATTTAAAAAAACTAATTCTAAAGTTTTTCAAGCCACCTTCATGATTTTTGGCACAAATGGGTGAAGCGGGAACGGGTTCGACGCGTTTGTACTCGGGTTGAGGTGGGAGAGGAGGACGAGCACCGGAAATAGGCCAAACTCGTCGTGGAAGGTGTGCTTGGAAAGGTGGTCGAACAGGAACGGGTAGAGGGAGGGATATCTGAGAAAGTTTACAAAATCAAGCGCCAAAAGTGCAAAAATTACCTCGAAAAGAATTCAAACGCCGATCGCGTGTTCCGCTCATCTACGTGTAACTCGACTTTGGCCGCTCGGGCGACTCCAAAAAGACGCGTTCTCAGCGAGGCGACAAGTTGGGCGGAAGCGTTTCGTTCGCTCCAATTTGGAGCCGAACAGCCTAAAACGTGAGTTGGTCTCTCTAACGTTGAAAAACACACCTTCCACGCCCAGTTTGACGGCTTTTTCGGCGTATCTCAAAACGCGTTCGCCAAGTTCAGAGTGCATGAAGAGCGACCGGAGGACGTTGAGGCTGTGGATTCTGTAATTTTTTTGTAAATTAAGGTTTCAATATCGTTAGATTTAGAAGAACGACAAGGCCAAATCTGAGGTAAAGGAATAACATTTCTATTTAGACTGACCTGCTCGTCGACTCCCGTCCCTCAAATTCCATCAATTTTCCCATCGCCAAATCTAAAGCCGAACATCCCGGATCCGTCGAACACAACGCCGCGACGAGATAGGGCAGACCGGCGCTTCGACGAGTCGAGCAAAGTTTGTCGAGATCTAAAAATAAAAACGGATAATCTAAAATCTAAACCGAAAATCGAACCATTTTTCCCATCGATCGCTTCCAGAATTCCGCTCAATGCGGCAAGCAAATTTGGTAGATGTGGATTTTGCACTGCCCAAAGTCGACGGCAGAGGACTTGGAAACTAAAAAAAACATTGATACAAAAGTACACAAGCGAAGGAGAGAGAGAGAGAGAGAGAGAGAGAGAATATTTATACGAACCCGTCCACAGCACTTTCGAAAGCCCCACAATGTCGGCATTCCGTCAGCTCGAGCCAATAAAAGTCGAAGACGGCCCGCACGTCGGCTGGCGGTAGTACCTCTAACTAAAGTTACACTTTTTCAATGCAATTCCCCCTAAAACCCACTTGTCCAGCCGCCAACGACAAAATCGTGCTGATTTGCTTGTGGGCGCGCCAGCAGCAGGCCACTAGCGTCTGGGAGACTTGGGGAGCAAGGCATTCGCCGGTGGTGTTATCTAAAATTTAATTAATCTAATTTTCGGCGCGAATTTTACCAATTTTTCGCAACAACTCCTCGGGGACATAGCCTTCCGGTGACAAATCATGGACTACGGGACGAACCTAAAACAGTACTCCTAACGGGGAAAACGCACTAACTAAATTAGCTGCCCGGAAGCACATTGGCAATATTTGAGTCGACCAGATTTCTGGAGCTATGGCCGGCTTTGGCTCGAGCAAAAGAGCGATAGAGCTCAACGTCGGGTGGAGCAGCCGAGCGGAAATGGCGATCAAGCTCTCTTTGTCGAGGGCTTCACAGCTTGCGAGAACCTTTTTGATCAGCCTAAAGAAATCAAAAATTTGCTTATTATTACAAACCTTTCCAACAGCCCGGCCACATCGTTTGGTCGTTTTGCCGCGTAGTAGCGTAGCCTGTAGCTAAGCGATAGTGAATCATGAGAGCGTAGCGAATCCAGTTGTGACTCGGTGACCGCGATGAAGCTATCGAAGTCCTAAAAAATTCCGATTAAACATTTATGGCATTGACCCACAAAATTCTCCGGGAATTTCAGTGTCTGAAGCAGCCTGAGTGCTTCTTTTTGGCAAATTTGGAAGGAATCGTCGAAGCAACCGATCAGCAAAGCTCGTAGATCTTCCGTTAACAAATCCTCGAGATGGGCGTGCGAGCGAAGTGTTTCTAAAGCCCACTAATTAGTTTTTAGCTATTGCCTAACCTTTTCCATCTAAATTCAGCACCTCGTCCTTGTACAATAAATCAAGAATCGACAGCGCCATGATTCGCCGCGAGAAATTGGCGCCTACAATTTTTCTTTAGCTTTTGAAGACCAAATACCTGGCTTAATTGACTCGATTGTCAACGCTGCTAATCTTCTCAAAAAATCGGAATACCCGACAATAGGCCCAGTTTCGCCAGGTTTCTTCGAAATTTGATCGGCAACGTCGCAGAGGCGCATTAGGAACTGAAATTTCATACTTTTTTGATCCTGAACTGAAAACTCTACCTTTTTCAAACTGGCCAAAATTTTCTGACGATTCGACGGCTCCTGTTCGGTCATGTTGGACTCGATATACGCAAGCGCCAATTCACAATCTTCGAGCTCGATAAACAGCGTTCGCTTTGGGTGCTCGCACAGAAGCGACAAGGCGGTTAGGCGGACCTAAAACATGCCAGATTCATGAATTTTCAAATTGTTATAACGTACCTGGACATTCACATGCAACAATGCTCGAGCCATTTCCTCTCTCAGCACAAAATCACGCCATTGACAAGTGGTTCTCGTGAAAACGACAAACTTCGCCAGCGCCATCCGCCCGACGAGAAAATCGGCGGTGGCCGAGGTAGACGCTGTTGAAATTTGGTCCAAAATTTTATGTTTTTTGAGCAAAAAGTTAAACCAAATACCTTTTACAGCATCCATTAATTTATCCACAAAACCGATTCGTAAAAGCGGATTTTTCATAATACGGGGCAGCAGTCGATCCAGGGGGGAGCAATGACCAGGTCCTGCCGACAGCAAATTTATCTAGAAAACCCTCAAAATTCTCGATTACGGTTTCAAAAAACCCACCATCGATTTCACATGGTAATCCCAATTTCGCTCATCTCTCCTCGCCTCCAAATCCGCGCATATCAACTCGCTGAGCACGACGGAAAGGGTGAAGCTGCCCATTTTCGCGTACAACACATCCATAAAGGGCTGGTTGAATCGTTGGGCTACTTCGTTGGGCAGTAAGGCATATAAAGCAACCTAAAACTAGATAAAAATTGATTTCTATTTTCTTACTATGGCTTTGTAGCGCGCCTTGCAAGACACCGGGCTTGAAAAGAGCTCGTTGAACATCCCGCGGACCCATTTGCACTTTTCGACAGCGCTACAGGCCCCACAAGTCGAGAGATGAAGCTCGATAAGCCGGATTAACACATCGGCGCAATCGTAGCAAACCTAAACGTTCTATGCTGAGGTTACTTGTTTAAGCAAACCTTATCAACAATAAAATCCCAGTATTTCCACACAAAATTTAGGACGGCATCTTGTGCATCGTTGCCGAGCGGTTGAGCACTAAAGAAATACATTTTTTCAAGCTTGTATACCTAGCGCGACTTATATCCAGCGCTTTCTTGATCCCACTACTGGCCGCTGTCACGATTTCCCCATCATTTGGCGTATTTTTACAGGAAGCCGTCAATTCGAGAAGCACGGCGTCTAGCGAAGTCGATGGTTGACAGGCCACCATCAACCTGAATGGAATTTTTTTACTTAATTTTGATTCAAATAAGGGAAATTGATAAAGAAACCAATAAAGTAAGACCCTGAAAAAAATGTTGGGCCGAGATTTCCGCGCGTAAGCGGTTGCCGAGGGCGCGCGAAAGAGGGGCTGTGTAGGGGTAACAACGGAACTTATCATTGTAGGTAAACCGATAAAATGGTCTTTTAACATTAAAAAGTTATGAAAATCTGCAGCGACAAAAACGATAAAATTCAGTATCGCTTTCTTCATTTGATTTACGTGAAGCATGCTAAGCTTCTTTTTTTTATCTTGAACGCCGAAAACTTTCAAGAATTTAATTTTTCACTTATTTCTTTTATTTTTGGATAGACTTTGGCAATCTGACCTTCATAAGCCATTTTCGGGCATAAATACGGGTAGTAAACGGATTGGAAGTGTCTAAGATCTGAAAATGTTGAAAATTGAAATGCAACAAACTTCTTAAAAACGTTATTTTTTTTGTTTATTTGATGTTCGAATAGACCTTTGACGACCAATATGAGCTTCATAAGCCATTTTCCGATGGAAAGACGATCAGAACACCAGCTTAGAATTTTAGAAAAACTGAAATTTTTCAAACTGTTCGAGAATTACTCTAAACTTTTTTTTTGTTTTTCGAGCACCAACATCGCGGATGTCTTTGTTTTCAGTTGCTTTCAAATACGTGACGTATTCGGCTAATTTTTTCCGGCGACGCTTGCATGACATCCAGGTGTGCGTCTTGTGTCATGGTGGTCGGTTCCCCGGTCGTGGATGACAATTCCAGCGTGGTCTGCACGGCTTTGTACTTGACGTTTGGTTATCATCACATCTGGATGGAAACTATCATCATGCATCAATCACCGACTACATCGATTCATCGCCCCGGCACACCGTAGTAGCCCCCGGGGAGACGGTATCTAGAATCTTTTCTGTTTACCAAACTACAGCGAAACATCTGTGCCATCGTTATATCAGCAATTTTTTTCAAAAACAGCCCTCTTTCAGCAGCACGGAATTCTAGATTTTGTAAAAGACTAGAAATCTTTGGAACCTAGGAGTTCAAAAGGAAACTAAAATCACAAATTCACGCAAACGAAGCTCCTCTTTACACCCCAATTTTCTGACCCAAATCTTCTGGCTTGGTTTCATTTTGTTGATATACTATCTTTTTTTTCTCTTTGTACTGTCAATGTGAGGCGACCAATCAGCTTGCTCAAATATTTATTCAACGTTTGAAACTCTACGAAAAAAAAATCCCGTCAAATTTAAGATACCCCTGTAATCGTGTCAATAAAAGACGGCGCTGTAAAAAAAAGTTTAAAAATCCCAAGTAGTGGTTTTTCAGGTGTTTTTGAAAGTTGAAGTGGCATAGCTCATTCGATAGAGATAGTAATGGCGAAGAAATCTTCTGAACGACTACCGTATTGAAGATTCACAGGCCACTTACTCGGAAGCTCATTTTTTTTGTAAAAACGATCACAACTTTGACTTTCCCCAGACTCTTGTCATTCAACGTTTTTTTTTGGAAAATGGGTTTATTTGGAAAATTCAATTTCAGGCTCTCTCTATTGAGCTATTTTAGGTCGAAAAATTCCACAAGCACCTAGAACGACTTGTCTGACTTGTAAGGCAAAGCCTACGCCTAAGCCAAGCCCTATCCTAAGTTTAGCGTGAGCCGAAGCCTAAGCAAAAGCCCAAGCCTGGACGTAAGCTTCCGCATTCACCAAAATGGTGCCAAGCATCACGCATGGCATCAAACATAGCATAGCATGATAGGAACTTCACACCTATTCAAGCTCGTCGAATCTTTTTTTGATACTTGCCCAGCGACGATAAGATAGCCACGGTAGAGCTTGGCGATCTCGATAGAAGGGTGTGGGCACCGTTCTTGCCGGACAGGAAATGGATGCGCGTGTCCGTTATCGCTATCATCCCGGATGATCCCGATAGTGGTTGTTGCTCTTGCGTATTATTACTTATGACTAAAACACTTTGAATTTGTAGCAACAGTTGAATTTTTTGTGCATAAGCTCCACGACCTCCGTCCCAAAGCGCCTTAAGAGAAATTTGGCTCTCGGATCATTTTTTGCGGCTTTGATTTAACGATAACCCCATGGAAACCTAGCTCATCCTATGGAAAAACTTTTGAAACCAGATCTTTCCTAAATCCGTGCGTCCGACTACAGTACCCCGGGCATACCGTAAAGGCTCCAGAAACACAAAAATTTTGTTCTACAAAAAGTTAGGGACAGAGTTTTCGCCTCGGCGAACGTTGGATCGGTGGTTTCACGCACGCCTGGCTCACATAGGATAATTAGCAGCTATTTGGTACAGCGTAGTTTCTGAATGCCGTAAGTTTTATGCCAGGCCTACGAATGAGGTATTTCCTCGGTGGCTTCTATTTGTAACGTTTTATGTTAAATTAGCTATTTCCTCGTGTTAGTGAATTGTCAGCACGAAATTCCCATCTGGATTTGACTGTCTTTTTGCAAAGTTGAGCGGCCAAAATATTGACTAAGATATTTGGGGATCGAGCCATACTGCCATACATCCTGGAAAAAACATCGATTCCGAATTATGTGTGACTTGACTAGACCCTATTTTAGAAACAAGTAGATTTCCTAAAAAAGCGCCAAAAATGAAAGCATTGTTTTTGGGTATTACCTCCTTCTCTTATTCATCTTTCAGCTGGCTTACTTCGGAAAAAGAGTAGTGCGCTTCAGAAAACTTGAAGCATCTCGAGCTTGAGCCAGCTTGATAAAATTGCGGCCAGCAGGCGAAGCATTTTTTAACCAGACCTCAAAAATACGATGAAAGTCGCTTCGTTTTAATATAGTAAAATAAATAGAACTACCAAAATTACTTACCTATTCACCTACCAAATTTTAGTAATTAAGCCGTAAGAGAAGAAATATCTGCATTGTGGCTATAGCTACCGTAACTCGGAGACTCAACAAGCCCAGCCAGCAGCACGGTCTGCCCCGACACCATGCGCACATTTGGCATCCGGAGAAGCGATTTTTCGATCCGCGTCTGAACAAACGAGCCACGGCCGGCTTTGATCCGCTCCGTCAACTTTGACACCTCAAAGCGATTCCTCTTCTGATTCGCATCATATTTCGCCCTCCATGATTTATCATTTCGATTCTGCCACCCGCCGACTGACTTGTATATATAGGCAAGATGGTCGGGGGTACGGTACCAGCTGACGGATGGCATTTCTACGATACTTTACTGCGCTCAGCATTCTGGCGATCGGGGTGCAATGTTGTAAGTTGGTTTTAATAGATCGGATTAAACTTATTAATTTTAGTGAAAACGCTGCGGATGAATAAGGATTTTGGGAAGCCGGTAAGTAAACCTTTTATTCTTAATTGGGGAAAATTCTACCGTGTAAGACAATTAGTAAAAGCCTTAATAAAGTCGAAAAGATAGGCCGTCAAAATCCCTCGATTTTGTTACATTGACAAACGTCAAAAATTACGGAAAAATTGATAATGTTTTGGGTAGCCGGAGAGGAAATAAGTTTATTTTTAATGGAAAAGATTTATACATTGCAATAAATCATAAGGAACGTGATAAAGTCAAATAGCGTGTCAAAAAAAATTGGTTGATTCTAAAAATTTTGGAAGTCCAAAACTCAGAAAGAAATAAAAAAATCTTGTGGCTTACTTAAAGTATATTGTTGCTGTGTTTAGACGTCTAAACTTTTTTTGCAAATTTAGAAACAAATCAACGCAGAAGACGGGTTGGTACTGGCTCCTTAGCGGTGGGGGGGAGTAACCCTAAGACAACTTAGAAATAGTTTTTTTGTTAATACTCCGGATGTTACGAACCAGAAAGGAAGCCCTGCTTGGCCAATAAACTTATTTTGTTCCAGTAAAAATTCTAAGGATGAATAAGGATTTTGGGCAGCCGGTGGGTAAATATGCCTATTTTGAATTAGGCATAATTTTACTGGGTAGAACAATAGTAAAAACCCTGATGATAAGGCCAATAAATGAAGGACAAGGTTCGTGCCAAGTTCTCCTTTTCCGCGCGCTACCGTACTGCCAAGCTCGGCGCCTGTACAGCAGGAACAGCTAGCCCCCGGCTCGCCAAACGATCCAATTTCTGGCGCTCCTCTCGAGCCGGTCATAAGATCACCACCTCGGCCAATCGCTGCTGGATGGGTGGGGGGGGGACAGATCAGGCGCCGCATTTTTCGGATCATAAGATTAATCGGTGGGGGTTGAGGGAAAGTTGGCGGGATTGTGTAGGGAGCCGTGATGGCTTTCCAAAATATCATAAAATGGGACATACAGGGTGTCCCAACAAAAAAAACATACCCCCTCTGACTCAAAGCAGTAGTATCGGATCGGAATGGTAGTTACAGCATTGAAAGCCCTCAAAAGGCGAGCTTGCAACAATTTTCAAAACCATGTTTTTATTTAAATACGTTATTTTACAAGCCATTTAGCAAAATTTAGCGGTTTTCCAAGATTGAATACGAGAAAATTTGCCTAATTTCTACAAACAAAATGACCGGAGGTGGCCTTTAAATAGGTGCAGACGCCTTCCTTAATGTTTTTAAATGAGATGTAAACTGGCGCGTTGCGATGAAAAACGTTTTTAAAATTGTGGCAAATTCGCAGTTTCAAGGGCCTTCGAATGGTGTAACTATCATTCCGATCCAATACCTCTGCATCGAGTTAAACCTAAGTCTAAGCCTAATAAAAGTAGTTTTTGTTACTAATCCTGATGTTGCGAACAAGCTTACGTTGGCCAATAAACTTTTTTTGTTCTATTAAAAATTCTAAGGATGAATAAGGATTTTGGGCAGCCGGTGGGTAAATATGCCTATTTTGAATTAGGTATAATTTTCCTGTGTAGAACAATCGTAAAAACCCTAAGGATAAGGCCAATAAATGAAGGACAAGGTTCGTGCCAAGTTCCTCCTAAGCCTAAGCCTAAGCGTGTTTCTTGGTCTTGGGGCACTCTGTATTACTTAATGAAATGAACGGTTTCTAGCGACATTATCCGCAACTTTTGACAGCTTGGGAAGCATCCAAATAAAATTTATTGATCATTTACAGATCGATCTTGGCATCGGCCTGCACTACTGCAGACTACCCAAGACTGGCTCAACTATCACGTTGGAGCTACTTTGCGATATTCAGCACGAATTCCATGGATTACCGTATAATTCGTCCATTAACAGCACACTTCACGAGGCGCATAAGTAAGTTGATTCAAGATTTCTGGATGGTATCGATTGATGGATTGATCAAATTAGGATTGCGCTTTCTAAGTACCACCGGCAAAACGGTTAATATCCTTCCGAAAATGGCTTATTTTAGCGACTGCTGGGAAAATCAGGAATTCTTCGCCAAGCACCCTGTGCAAAAGTGGAAAATCCCGGAGAAGCCGATCAAATTCACGATCGTGCGGGACCCTATCGATCGTTTCGTCTCGTTATATGGCCACTTTTGCCAGTACGTCTCAGCTTTCTTTCGAACTCCTTCGGGAATTTTACAATTTTTAACCTTGTGCTTTAGGCACGATAAGCTTTGCGAGAACATCGGGATCAAGAAATTTGCGCAGGACGTTTATAACGCACTGGTAAATGGTCAGCAAAATTACGTGAACACGAAGCGCCCGATTCGAGGTCATGCAGTACCGCAAGCGCAGTAAGCTGTAGTATTTTATATTTGGAAGCGTGCGGCTGCGTTCCGTATCACGAAGGTAACCAGATCATCCGATAATGTCCAAGAGCAGCGAGTGACGCGCCGCACGCGCTCGGATCAAAATTCGATCTGGAGCACAAACATTTCCAATGTTTTGTTTTAGATTTTGTGGGCTGCGAAAGGGAACTGATGACTATGAGGTCATCTACTACACCAACGACAAGAACGAGTTTATCGGGCAGCTGAAACTACTCTTCGAGAAGGCCCAAATTCCAAAGGACGTTATGGACCGGGTAGGTGGCAATGTATCAGAAGAAAAACATCGGTTTGCTGGTGTTATCATCTTAAGAAAAACGTCTATAACGAATCACTTTTAGGGTCTTGCCCACATCACCGAGTCGACGACCTGGCATGCGGCTGACTCGTCAAAACGTGACCAGCTTAAACAAATTGTTCTGGATTCGGCACCAACTAGGAGGCTACTGAGGGCCATCTATGAAATTGACTTTGATTTGTTTGGGTATTAAAATAGTTTTTATTTATCATTGCTGTTGGTTCCTTATAAATTATTCGGGTAACTGTCAATTTTACATTTGCACCCTGGCACAGAAGCGCGACAAGAAGTAATTTAACGCTATCATTGGCAACCACAAGGTAAGGAGAGAGAGAGAGAATGAGAAAGAGAGAAGAGAGTGGGCAAGAGTGAGGTAGAGGGAGACAGAGAAATCCAAAATGCGCAGTGTTTTTACAGGCGCGACACCCCCTACTCCCCAGACCCAATCGCCGACAAGGCAGGGTGGCTGTTCCAAGCGAAAGTGAAAGTTGGACGGTAGCCGTCCCCTAGCATGTTCCCCCAAAAGAGCCAGGGGCTGGGGAGCCTGTAGTCTTCCGGGTAGGTACCGTGCTTTAGCGTCCGAAATGCGGCATCCATGCAAAATCATTTCTTTAAAAAATTCCTCCGGTTATAGAAGTTTCTACTACAAAAGTTTGCGGTATTGCCTTTGGTAGAGGGGGAGGGAGCGGAGTAAACCCTTTTCCCTACGCCTCGCAGATCGCGGTGAATAAAATTTTTTGATGGAAGCTGTCGAGCTCAACTAATGCAATTTTGATACAGATATAGCAAAGCCAACATGCGAACCGCCCGCACCAGGGGCGTAGCTGGCCCCAGGTTTCGGGGGGGGGGGGGGAGGCAGCGACATTTCGGAGGGGGCCGCAAAATTTTTTTTCGAAATTTGAAATCTTAGGTATTGATCTTCCAGCCTGTGGCATAAAGATCAGCGCTAGACTCGAAGCACTCCAATAACCAATTATCAATCATATCACGCCCGGTTCTCTTCTTCCCCTCGTTTTCCACCGCCCGCCACTGCGCGTTTGTCGACAAATATCCACAAGATGGGTGCAAATCTCGTGCTCCTGCTTCCTGCTGGTTCTCGAGCCAACACTCGGAAGGCTCGTTTCAGATTGGGGGTTTTGATTGGGGGAATTGTTAGCGTTGGGTAGCCCCCCCCCCCCTTTGCCCTTCTTTTTTTTTTTTTAATTTTATTTTTTTTTTCTTAGAAAAAACCCCCCCCCCCCCCCCCCCCCAAAAAACCCCCCCTGGCCCTTTTTCAGGAATCCCCAAACGCAATCGGGACGTATTGAAGAAGTATTGGCACGTGGTGATGTAAGTGTTCAATCTGCAAACGGGCTATAAAATTGGAGCAGGTTTTGGATACGAAAACAGAACGATGGCATTATGTGCGGGCCGTCGATTTCGGGTCGTTGGCATCAAAAATTTGCAGCTCGGAAAAGGGCGATAATGGTCTGAGCAGGTCCACTTGAATAGCACGTGGCATTGTTCCTCCCTAGGCACAGACCATTTAATTCGTAAACCATGACTTACGTAACTTTACTCGGATGGCTGCGGGCAGGATCTGTTTTTGCAGTAGGTATACAATTTTTACGAAATTCACTTTGCGGATACTCACTTGGGGGGACCTATGAGCTGCCGGCTTCGGTAAGCTTTACGCGCGGTTTAATTACCTTTATCAATGTATTCTATATTTTTATTGTTGATCCAGTTAATAAATAATTTTGCATGATACGGGGCTGAAAAGCCCCGAGCATGTCAAACACGCTGTCTAAAGTACAAACAACCAGGGCTTTTTCGTCTCGAAGCATCGCTTATCTTCTGGATTAACAGAGACCTTTCCCCCGGCGTTTCATTTCATCTTTCATTTTGGACTTCTGCTCTAGCGCGTTTTCCATAGTTTCAAACGTTTCTTGCCACGCGGGCCGGAAGAGAAAATGGCACTTTGGGAAATTTTGCTTAGGATTTGCCTATTCTTTCCGGTCTGCGGTTTGGCAGAAAGTGTACAGGTATCGTTACGGATTATGAAAATGGAGTTAGGCTTCGCTTAGACGGGATCTCGAACCATCATGACTTCAAATCAGAGTTGTCCTGAAGCTCCACTCACCATGAGCCCTGGAGGGACATGGACCCTGGAAATCGGCTATGGCAGCGTATTCCAAATGTTCCCCGGGATGGACTGTACATGGGAGATGTAAGAGGGG